AGTTGTGCAACCCAGCGGCCCTGCTTCTAATCGCAGTTTCCTTGGCTGTGCCGAAAGGCGGACAAAGGTTGGTGTGAATCACCTCTGCAGGCCACTCCACATCTCAATTTATAGCAGTCTAAGCAAAATGAAGGGCTTTGGGAGGAGGCAGGGAGCCAGGGCCTTTGCCAAATGCCAGAGATGGTGGCAGAGAAGGTCTAGGGACTGGAGGATGGCCAAACCCCCAAAGCAACCATGAGTCCCTCCTCCCAGGGTGAAACCTGGATTTGCGTCTCTAACCCATCCCTACTCCTTTTTGCAACCATGTAGAATCTCACCCCTCTAGCCAGGTTTTCCATGAATGAACCAGGGAAAAGAAAAAATATCCCTCATAGGGCAATTGTGAGCATTAAAAGAGGTTATTCATGTCAGGCACTGAGCAGGGTACCTACTCCAAAATTACAGCTCAGGAAACTTTAGACCCACCAGGATGTTTGTTTTGTTTGTAAAACAGCTTAAATGTGTCTGCTTCTGGGCTTTCTTACTTTGACCTACCTCAAGATCATAATAAAGCCATCTAGGGATAGCTCCAGATCAGAATTCTGCTATTTGCCAAAAGCTCAAAAGGGGTTCTGAGGTGTGAGAAAAAGGAGAGCAGGACACCTACCTCTCTTCCCACAAACAGAATGACCCTAGCCTTCCAGTGAACCCATTCCTCTAGAGGTGGACATGGCAACCTGGGAAGTCTGGCCAAAGTTTCAGTTACAGAAATGAAGCTGTGATCATGAAATTTCAGGTAGGATAATGCATTTTGGTTTATATTCCTGGCCCCTGGAGTCAGATTCTGTGGGTGGCATATATGGCACCTGGTTGTTGCAGTAGCCTCAGCCCAACTTTCCATGGAAGGATGAGAAGAAGCCAGAAGGGAAGACTACTCAGGGCCTGGGTGTTTCCAGCTGTCAGCTGGAAGCATCTTGCGGAGGAATGGAGTTAAGTTCTACCCCACCCTGCCCTGCCCAGGCTGCTGGGATGGAAGAAAGAGCCAGGTGTGGGCCCCAGAGAGAGAGGAGTCCTCCATCTGAATCCTGGAGACTTAGAGTATGGAAACCAGCAAGCAAATAGACGTGGCTCCTCATATTTTCAAATCGTATGTGTTTCTTACATAACATTATATATGAAAAACCAATATTAGGTTAGTCTGAAACTCAAAACACATAATCTCATGTCCTGACTGTGCCACCAGCTCTCTATATGATGTTGCTCATCTCTCAATGGGCCTCAGTTTCCCCAGCCGTCAGTAAGTACGGATTCCTTCTTGTTCTGAAAACCTGTACCTGTCAAATGGATGCCGTCAGTAGGGTGGCAAGATTATAGATGCCTTTGCCATTTGCTTTCTATTGTCCACACTTCTTAAAAATGTTCCAGTTATCTTTAAAGTACAGTGTAATTGTAATTTGCCCACAACTTTTATTGTTATGAAGGAAAGAAGGAAGAGAACAAAGGAGGGAAGAAAGAAGAATGTTTTATTTGTTGGGAAGGCAGCCACTGAAAAATCATTTCTCCTCCTCCCCAGCAGGAAGCAAACCCCATACTCCAGGTAATTTGATAAAAATGGGAACATAGAGGGACCCTACACTTCATCAGTCATCCAATGAGTCACCTGTGTAATTCTGTCATTCCAAAAGCTCAGAGCCTTAGAATTCCAGAAAACCAGAGCTGATCAGTCCTACAAAGATCATGTGGTATCCAGTTGCCTCCCCTGCATAGGAAGTCTAGGATCAAAGAGAAAGGCAGGTACCCAAGATCAAGCAGCTCACCAGAATTAAAGCAGATACATCCAAAACCCAGGAAGGTCTCACATGCCATTATATTCTGTGACTTTATATCTTACCATAATTTCAAATTTATTTTTTAAAATAAAAAGTACAGAAAACTCCCACAAATCCTTGACCCAGATTCACCATTTGTTTACATTTTGCCCTATTTTATTTACCATTCTCTTTCCTACACACACACACACACACACACACACACACACATGCACAGGCATGAACTATTTCGAAGTAACTAAAAGATAGCATCCCTCAAAGCTTCAGGGTGTGTTTCCCAAACTAAGAACATTCCCTTTCACAATCATGATCCAAATCAGGAAATTTAACTTTGACACCAGCATTTAATCCACAGTCCATATTCAAATGTCCTCCATTGTCCCAATAATTGACTGTCTCAGAACTGGCAATTTTTTGCAGTCATCACTCCTATGCCCAGGAAAGCTGCCTGCCTCCAGGGGAAACATGAATAAGGCCTTTTATCCTTATTCCTCTACCCTCCCTTTCTCTGAGTGCTCCTATCCACTGCCCTCCCCACTCCAGCATGCCCAGACCAGACAGACGGGGAGGGGGTGCCACTGTGAGGAGCAGTCGAGCCTCCCGTCTCTGACCTGAGAGTGCAGGAGGACACCTGAGACTATGCCAGGTGGACAGGTGCATGGAAAAGCCCACTGGGCCCACTCACCAGCTCTCAGTAATGCCCATCAGCCCTCCCTGGCCTCCAGAGTCAAGACGGGCACAGGACACTGTCTAGGTCAAGGACCTTAAATTCTATCTAGTTCCAGAGACAAAACCCACTTCCATAAAAATCCACACACCTCAAAATATGTTTCAGCTATAAGGGATCGATGTCTGGGAGGGGGCAAGAAGGTACTTTCTGGAGTGCTAGAAATGTGCTGTATCTGAGGGGTGGTTACATAGAGCATACACATGCAAACATGCAGCCAGCTATGCAAGATGTCTTCCGTTCCCTCTAGGTATATCTCAGTAAACAACCAAAGCTATATGTGTGTGTAGTCAACAATCCCAAGGTGGAGCACCGTGCAGTGAAGAAAGGCTGTGAGCTCCAGAGGAAGGGACAGGACAGCTTCTGGCTTTGTCCACCTGCCTGCAGCAGTTCCTGCCTGCCACTTGGCAAATATCAAATAAATACTGTTGAATAATCAAATAAATTAATTTGATGCTATGACTACATTTCTTAACATGGAAACATGTCAACGATATCTTGCAAAGTGCAATCAACAGGCTATAGAAGAGTATGTGAGAATTATCTCATTTTTGTAAATATTTATGTTCAAATTTTTTGTATACCTAGTCTGAAAGAACACACCGAAATTCTAAGAAAAGTTCTCTTGGGTGAAAAGATAAAGACAATATATTTTTATTCTTTTTTTCTTCTTTGTTTGTACTTAAATTTTTTTCTAACAAGTTAAACTGAGCGAAAAAGCAAGTATTAAAAAATATATATATCAGCCAGGCACAGTGGCTCACACCTGTAATCCCAGCACTTTTGGAGTCTCAGGCAGGCAGATCACGAGGTTAGGAGTTCAAGACTAGTCTGGCCAACATAGCGAAAACCCATTTCTACTAAAAATACAAAAATTAGCTGGCCGTGGTGGCACATGCCTATATTCCCAGCTACAGGAGGCTGAGGCAGGTGAATCGCTTGAACTTGGGAGGTGGAGGTTGCAGTGGGCCAAGATTGCACCACAGCATTCCAGTCTGGGCAACAGAGACTCCATCTAAAGACTAGACTCCATACACACACACACACACACACACACACACACACACACACACACGTAAATAGGGCAACAAAATAGGGTCCATGCTGATTTGTGAATCTCTAAAAGGGGATTATAGTATGTAATGCATCTCAAGCTTACCTGACCAGAGACCTTTTGGGGAACTGCTGCTCTAAAGAGAATTGCATAAAAGGAGTTGGGGCTCTGAAAATTGCATGAAATCATCATATCAAATCACAACTTACATCCAAACTTCTCTTATACACAAGAAAAGCAAACCTTCTGCGTAAGTTAAGGTTATTTGGTTTTTCTACCATGCATTTGGACTGAATTCTAGCTGGTACCAGAGGTTCGCGCAGCGCCGCACACTTAGAAAGTGGTCAGGAACTGCTAACTGCTGTTGTTGCAGCTCTCTAGTGGGGTGCCAGGACCTGGAGAGGCTGTTTTCCCGAGCCTTCTCCTGAGATGGGATTCCTGAGGTGGTTACTGAGCACAAACCAACGCCTCCTCTGCTCTCTAAGCTCCAGTAGAACAAGTTAGGGACCGAGTCATGCTCTGGAGCTGGAAGCTTAAAACCTGGAAGATATCCCAGGCAGGGCATGTCAGAACCCAAATGCATGTGGACTCAATTGAGCCTGGAGAGTGGCAGTGGCTGAAATCACAAATGCTCAACTTACATGGGGAAGGCTCCTACCAAGGGAAGAAAACCACAGATTCTCAGAGCAAGAAGGAAACTGCAGAGGTAACTACTCCAATTTCCGACTTACTGACTATTCCCTCCATGGTATCCCCTCTAAGTGGCCCTCTAGCTCTACTGAGAACCTCCAGGGCTGGATGCTCACTACTTCCCCAGACAGTCTGTTCTGTCTTCAAGTAGCTCTAGAGAAAGCTTTTCCTTTGTGTTGAACTATAACTTCCACCCTTTGACCTTGGCTCTGCCTTCCAGGAGCACACAAAGCAAATCACACCCTCAAAAATCTTCCACGAGCTTTTTCTCCTTACTCAAAACAATCATAATGATGGCTACGATTTATGTGGTCTTTACTGTGTGCTAGACACCATGCTAAACACTTTACATGCCTGATCTCATTTAATTTTCACAACAGTCCCATGACATAGTGTTTACTATTGGCCCCATTTTACAGATGAGGAGTCTGAGTCTCAATTGAGATGAAGAGCCTTACCCAAGATTGCTTAGCTAGTTAGTGGCAGAACTGAAATACAGAAGCCAGATTTTTCATGTTCTAAACTCCTGATGAGCCAGGCATAATGGTGTGCACCTGTAGTCCCAACTACTCAGAAGGCTAAGGCGAGAGGATCCGTTGACCCCAGGAGTTCAAGGCTATAGTGAGCTATGACTGCGCCTGTGAAAAGCCACTGCATTCCAGCCTGACAACAGAGCAAGACTCTGTCTCTAAAAATTAAAATATAAATATAATTCCTGAGCTTCACCACTGCACTCTGCTACCTCCTATACACACCCACCCACACATGCACACACACACACCCCATTGAGTCTTCTCTAGCGGTATGCACACTGACGACCCTGCAATGTCACAGTAGAAATTCCCACATGGTCCTGAAGGACCCAGAACCTTCAGGAGATTCTGCCAACTTCTCCCCTGGTTTGCACACCTCTCTCCTGCCTTTAGCACCTCCTAATGTAGCCCTGGGTTTCAGCTCCTTACATTGTTCTTGGAATATTGCCGCTGCGAGACATATGGGCTGTTTTCATTTGTCCAGCAGGCCTTCTCCTCCTCATTCCAAGTGATTCTGAGGGGCCCACCAATTGCGGTGTCTCCACCCAAACCACCACTGCAGCCATGACACCTGGGCTAGGCTGGCTTTCTTCCTTCCATTTTGGCACCAGTGATCCACATCACAAGAGACGGTTCCTTGAACTGTCTGTGGCCAAAAAGACTGTTTCTCTGGGAATCCTGTGGGGACTTTGAGAGAAAGGAAGTTCCTCCACCCCCATGGACAATGAGATTAGTAAACGAGAAGATGTAAACCTGGAGCTGTAAGGCCCTTAGATTAGTTAACTATTGCTTCAGCATTGAGTTACCACAAATTCGGTGGATTAAAACAACATGCATATACTATTTTATAGTTCTGGAGGTAGAAATCCTAAAATTAAGCTGTTGGCAGGGTTGTCTTCTTTCTGGAAACTCTAGGGGAGAATCTATTTTCTTGACTTTTTTCAGCTTCTAGGCTCCCTACAATCTTCTGCTCATAGCTTCTGTCTCTACTCCATCTTCAAAACTCTCTCTCCCTTTCTCTTTCTCATCTCTGCTTCTTTTGTTTTTTGAGATGGGATTTAGCTCTTGTTGCCCAGGCTGGAGTGCAGTTGCACAATCTTGGCTCACTGCCACCTCCACTTCCTGGGTTCAAGCAATGCTCCAGCCTCAGCCTCCTGTGTAGCTGTGATTACAGGTGCCCACCACCACACCCGGCTAATTTTCTGTATTTTTAGTAGAGACGGAGCTTTGCCATATTAGCCAGGCTGGTCTTGAACTCTTGACCTCAGGTGATCCACCCACCTTGGCCTCCCAAAGTACTGGGATTGCAGGCATGGCCACTGCATGCAGCCCTCACCTCTGCTACTATCATCGCATCTCCTCTTCTACTCTGACCTTCCTCCCTCCTTTTGTAAGGACCCTGGTGATTACATTGGGCCCACCTGAGTAACCCATAGATGATTTTATCATCTCATTTCATCCTTAACTTGGTCACATATGCAGAATCACTTTTGCTTTGTAAGGTAACACTCACACGTTGGGGATTAGGACATGGACATCTTTGGGGGCCATTATTCAGCTCATCACATCCATGTGGAAAAGCTCAGAAGCAGCAGGAGAGAGGCAAACATGCAGAGACAACAGAGCTGAAAGAAGGAAAGGAGAGAACCCTTGACCCAGCCATGCCTGGAGTCACAAGTTGTTGATCACAGGAGCCAATGAATTCCCTTTTTGCTTAAGTTAATTTGATCTCAGTTTCTGTCACTTGCAACCCAACAAATTCTGACTACTGTAAATGCTTACTGGTCATGATTGTCTTAGCCAGACTCGGCTCTTCAAGGGCAGTTTCTCTAAGTTATTGCCACAATGACCCTGTTTCAAAAACTGCAAATTGACACCTATAGCACAACAAACACATGGCTATGTTTGGGGAACAACAGATATGAGTAGAAAAATCGGGATTAACCTGGAACTCAAGTGGTCTAGGGGAGGTTGGTACAAAGAGTACAGCACTGGGGGAAAGGACGCTTGCGTTTAATCTGAGCTCTTGTGGAAGAGATCCCAGGAAATTCCATAGCTGCCTTGGTTTTCCCCATCTTCATCCACACAAAGAATTGCTTGGTTGAACACTAAGGTTGCATCCCACTCTAACCTTCTGAGAATAACTTGTTGCTCTGTGTTTCTATCACACACCAAAGCACCACACCGAAAGTTAACAAGAAGGCTGGGCTCTTGTGGTACATAACCAGGGGCAATCACCCTACCCCTTCCCGTTTCCTTTTCCTGCAGTCCTTGGCAGCAAAACAGTGACTTTGAGAGAAAGCCAAGGATGAGAAAAGGAAATGAAGCAGCTCCTTCTTCTAGCTGTTAAAAAAAAAATACACACTCCTACACACATACACACAGGTAAAGCCCATCTACCATGTAGCACTTTACGCTTGACTAAGTCACAGTTCAGGCAAGGGAATACGATACATTTATTTAATATGTTTCCCTATTTTTAGCATGGTTTTCTTACAATAACAACCTGCTAATTTAGGGAATTTTTAGGACAATGTTTTATGGAGTTTTTTCTTTTTCTTTCTTTCTTTTTTTTTTTTTTTTGAGACAGAGTCTTGCTGTATCACCCAGGCTGGAGCATAGCAGCATGATCTCGGCTCACTGCAACCTCTGCCTCATGGGTTCAAGCGATTCTCCTGCGTCAGCCTTCCGAGTAGCTGGGACTACAAGTACACGCCACCATGCCCAGCTAATTTTTGTATTTTTGGTAGAGACAGGCTTTTACCATGTTGGCCAGGATGGTCTCAATCTCTTGACTTCATGATCCTCCCACCTCAGCCTCCCAAAGTGCTGGGATTATAGGCGTGAGCCAGCACACCCGGCCACTTTCTATTTTTTTTAACCATAAGATGATCAGATTTCTAAGGGCCCTTCTAGAGCAATCCCATGAGGCTTCTCAGAAGTGTGCGCCCATGGGAGAGGGCAGTAGAGAACCTTGGGAATGGCCAGGATGTAGGAACCATCCCAGCAAGTGGCAAGGCTAGCTCGTACCTTGACTTCAAATGCTTTTCAGAAGGATGTATTCTGTGGGGGAGTCATTGTACTTGCAGGTCTGCTTCTAAAGTAGCAGCAGGGCCTTGAACTTTGTTCTCTTGGGACAGTCATTTTCCCCATTGGGCCTTAGTTTTCTCCACTGCAAAATGAAAATATTGGGCCAGAAATTAATAAGAGCCCTTCCAGGGGACATGAGAGGGATTCTGGAGAGCTGGTTATGTTCTGTTGCTTAAACTGGGTACGGGTAACACTGATGTGCTCGATTTATGAAAATTCATTGAGTTGTGCACTTATGATTTGTGCATTTTTCTGTATGTATCTTTTTCTTCAATTAAAAAGTTTATATTAACTATTTTTTTTAAAATATAGGAGATCTACTTGTATTTCTGAATTAGAAGAATAAAAAAGATTGGAGGGGGAAGAGCAGAGATGAAACAAAATTTGATGTGAATTGATCATTACTGAAGCTAGAGCTGGGCATGTGAATTCCTTATGCCATCTTGTCTACCTTTGCGTATGTTTGAAACTTCCCATAGTGAAAGTTTGAAATAAGAGCTCTTCTAGCTCTAAAATACTGTCATTTGAGGAGCTCTCCCACTATTATGCAAGAATGCAAAAGAAAGGACAAAGGAAAATCACAGCTCCCCTCACCCCAGATTTGGGTGTCTTGTAAAAGAGAAGGATATGGACCCAGTGTAGTCAAAATGGAGTTATTATAACAGAAATAAGAAGTATTGTGGCTGGATGTAGTGGCTCATGCCTGTAATCCCAGCCCTTTGGGAGGTCGAGGTGGGTTGATCACTTGAGGTTAGAATTTCGAGATCAGTATGGTCAACATGGTGAAACCCCATCTCTACTAAAAATACAAAAAATTAGCTGGGTGTGGTGGCACACACCTGTAATCCCAGCTACTCAGGAGGCTGAGACAAGAGCATCGCTTGAACCTGGGAGACAGAGTTTGCAGTGAACAGAGATCGGGCCACTGCATTCTAGCTCAGCCAACAGAGTGAGACTGTGTCTCAAAAAAAAAAAAAGCATTGTGCCTTTTGAACATCGTTTTGTTTGTTTGTTTTTTTAGTCCTAATTTCAGATCTCATTTGATATACTTGTGTCTGATGGAGCAAACTAACTATATTAGTTCATTCTCACACTGCTATACATACCTGAGACTGGGTAATTTATAAAGAAATGAGATTTAATTGGCTCACAGTTCTGTGAGCTGTACAGGCTTCTGCTTCTGGGGAGGCCTCAGGAAACTTACAATCATGGCAGAAGGCCAAGAAGAAGCAGGCACCTCTTCACATGGCTAGCAGGAGAGAGGGAGGGCAAAGGGGGAGGTGCCTCACACTTTCAATCAGCTGTCTATCACAAGAACAGCAAGGAGGAAGGCTGCCCTCATGATTCAATCACTTTCCACCAGGCCCCTCCTTTAACACTGGGGATTACAATTTGACATGAGATTTGTGTGGGGACACAGAGCCACACCATATCATTAACCAAGAATGTTTTACGACATAGCTATTTATTTGTTATCTATATGAATGCTGGTGAGGTCTGGTGTTGATTGGTTCTCAGTTGTCACAACCTATGCACTGTTGGCTCCTCTGCCCTGGCATGAACGAAGGCACTTCAGCTAGTGGCAGGAAGTAGGGGAAAGGGCAAATCCTGTAAGGTTCCTCTGGGGTTTCGCTTGACTTTCAAACAGTGGGTACAATGTCACTCACACTTACAGGAGTTGTGAAACATCATTGCAAAGTGGCCAGGATTCATTTATTCCTTATATGTAAGGAGCACCTGCTCCATGCCAGGCACCAGTCTAGGGGCTAGAAATATAGCAGTGCACAAACAGACAAAACTCCCTGACCTCAAGGAGCTTCCATAATTTGGTAATTCACGTAACAACTTTAAAGGCTTTTCCAAGCCACACAAAGTGGTGGATGCCTGTAGTTCTAGCTACCTGGGAGGCTGAGGCAGGAGGATTGCTTGAGCCTAGGAGTTCAAGACTGTAGTATGCTATAATATGCCTGTGAATAGCCACTGGACTCTAGCCTGAGAAACACAGCAAAACTTCTTCTCTTTAAAAACACCTTACATATTTTTATAATTGTGGTAAAATATACATAACAGTATCACAATTTAAAATTTTTTCAGTTCAGTAGCTTTAAAACAGATGTCTACAACTTTGTCACTTTGCTGAACTGAAACCCTATACCCATTAAGCAACTCTCTTTTGCCCCTCTTCCTAGCCTCTGGTAACCACCATTCTACTTTGTATATCTGTGAATTTAACTTCTCTAGGCACCTCATAGAAGTGTAGTCATACAATAATTGTCTTTTTGTAACTGACTTCTTTCACCTAGCTTAATGTCTTCAAGGTTCATCCATGTGGTAGCATGTGTCAGAATTTTCTTCCTTTTTCAGGCTGAGTAATATTCCACCGTGACACATTTCATTTATCCATTCATCTGCCAATGGAGACAGGTTACTTCCACATTTTGGCTATTGTAAATAGTGCTTCTATGAACACGAGTGTACAAATATCTCTTTCAGATTCTGCCTTCCACATTTTGGCTATTGTAAATAGTGCTTCTATGAACATGAGTGTACAAATATCTCTTTCAGATTCTGCTTTCAATTCTTTTGTGTATGTACCCAGAAATGGAATTTCAGGATCATGTGGTAATTCATGTTTAAGTTTTGAGGAACTGCCCTGCTGTTTTTCACAGTGGCTGCACCATTTGACACTCCTATTAACAATGCACATGGGGTCCAGTTTTTCATATCCTGTTAATAGTTGTTACGTTCTTTCCCGCCACCCAGCAATAGCTATCCTTGTGAATATAAGACTGTTCTTTAAGAAACTACTTGTGCCAGTTTAATTATAGAACAACTGGGCTAAGTTAAGCTAGCTGGAAAGCTGGGAATAATGCACAGCTCAAACTCACCATTTTACAAATGAGTAAATAAAATCATCTGAATAAAGACCCCATCTAGGCATGCATGGGTGTGAAAAAATTAAAATTAAAAACTTAATAAAGAGACTTGTTCAAGATCAGGCCACAATGGACGGATGGAGGTGGCACAGGATTCTAAACCAAGGGTCAGCAAACTTCTCCCTAAAGTATTAGATATTTACTCTCTGTTCCTGAAGGCTTTGCCCATCATAGTCTCTGTCGTAGCTTCTCAACTCTGCCACTGTAGTGTGAAGGCAACCACAGACAGTCTGTGTAACCAAATGGGTGTAGCAGTATTACAGTAAAACTTTTGCAAAAATAGGCAATAGGCTGCGATTTTCTAATCCCTGTTCTAAACCAATAAACTAAAGTGTGGGGCCGGCTGGTGCGTATTGTTCCCCACCTTCCACCCACTTCTGGTAATAGCACCTTGATTTCCCTTTGATGAGCTGCCTGTCTATCTTCCCAGTGCCTGTGATCTCGGTAGAATTGTCAGTCAAGATGCGTTGCTAGTTCTGGTCAAGAGGTGGGTCCATAACCCAAGCTGGACCCAAGCTGGACCTTTCTATCTAAGGTCTTTGAAACTTACAAAGGTACAAAGGGACAAGATGGCTGAAGTTGATGCCCATGTGTCTCTGGTGACTCTGTTGGGTTCCTCTACCTAGATCTCCAGAGTTGCCCAGCTCCTAGCCACTTCCAAGCCTGTTGTCTCAGTGCTTCCTTCCACTCTGCAGGCAGCCCCACATCCTTCCAGTAATTCTTTTTTCTGCTAAATGACTTGAAGTCAATTTCTGATGCTCACAACCAGAGAATCCTGACTGAACATTGACTTTTAAGAAAAGATGTGCTATATAAGTACTTTATCCACAATACTTTCAGCAGCTAAAAGATTTGATTTCTTAAAAAGCAAATTATCTGGAAGTTTAAGAACATATCAGACTCATTGACTGAAATTCCCCCGTCCATGCCTGCCAGTGTGGACATACCACACTGAAACACCATTATCCTTCAATCTTTGTTCAACAAATACCTCCGGCCCTGCCCAGCTCTCCCTTGTGCAAGCCCTTGGTGTTCTCTGGGCCTCAGATTCTTCATCTAGAACAAGAGGGAGTGAACAATGACAGTGACTTATTTTCCATCCAGCTCCAGACTTGGATCAGGGTCTCCTAGTGTCTGCTCAGCGCTGTGCTGGGGTATGAGAGATCCCCCTGACTTCAAGGAGATTGAGGATGAGTTGGGGAGACATGTCATAATCAGTGGTGACATGGGCAGCCTATGTAACCTGCAGATGAAGAAAACAGCCCACCAGAGCTCAGAGGGGAGAAAGTTGCTGTGGACTGGAGAGGACTTGAGCTGAGCCTTTAGAAGCAGGTAGGCTTTGAATAAGGAGAGAGAAAGAAAAATTGTATGCACTTTGGAGGCCTATTCAGTACTCTTCAAACTGAGCTCCAGCAGCAGTTCTTAGGCTTTATTTCCAGCCCTGAAACAGCAGAGGATGAATGGAACAAACCTTGCAACAGAACCAGGAAATATCTGGTCCTGTTCTGGTGACATTATTTGTTGCATGAGTTTCTTGTAGGTGTTTTTAGTTGTTGACCACAGGGGGCAGGGTGTGGACAGCTCTGAGTGTGTTAGCTGGAATATCAGAGTCTTGCTGAACTTGCTCGTTTTCTGCCCGTCCCAGCTGTCCAAGCACTAGAGGCAGCCCCCTGGGTCCACCTCACTCCACCCTTCAGGCCGGCAAGACGAAAGGACAGGGGCTCAGATTGTGTGGTCTAGAGTACCCCCACCCCAGGAGGTGCCTCTGATGCCAAGTATTCCTGTGAGCCCTGGCTGCAGGGGTGGTGGGCAGGGTGGCACAGGGAGGTAGGGGGTGGCCCTGTCTCTCCTCCTCAGCTTTCTGAAAGCCATCTGTTCCAAAACTTGAGCATTGCTTTCCGCTACACCCAAACCACCGCTACACCCAAACCCGTGGGACTGGTTATTCCCAGCACACACAGCTCTCTGTTTGCTGCTTGTGTTTGTTAGTTGGCATTTGAACAGTTCTCTGTGGTTCAAGTTTGAGGCTGGCCTGGGGCAAAATGAGATTGGCAGAGGTTGGCGTGGATGCTGCACCTCCCTCCCACTCTCCTGCCCCAAGCCCAGGCCCCTAAACCTCTCCCTTTATAACAGACACCACCTTCCCCTGGAACTCCCTTCCCCTTCAGGACCCCATTCTTTCCTTTTTCAGATGGCTTATTGGAGAAACAACCTCTTCTATGGGATGAGATGTTGCTAAAGTTCTTTTTCACAGGGGTCCTCTGTGGACATCACACCCAGGACTCATGAAAGGATAATGGCTGGAAATTCCAGGCATGTGGCAGGTTCTGAGGGGCAGATGGAAGTTATCCCCTCTGCTCCTACAGTAAATCTTACGTTTTTCTGTATGTTGTCACTAAAGGTATGCAATTCCTTCTATTTTTTTTTTTTTTTTTTTTGGAGACAGGATTTCCCTCTGTTGCTCAGGCTGGAGTGCAGTGCCATCATGACAGTTCCCTGCAACCTGTCTCCCAGACTCAAGCAATCCTCCCACCTCGGCCTCCAGAGTAGTTGGGATGGTAGGCATGTGCCACCAAGCTTGGCTAGTTTTTTTTTTGTTTTTTTTTTTTTTAGAAATGGGGTCTTACTAGGTTGCCCAGGTCTCAAACTCCTAGGCTCAAGCAGTCTTCCCACCTTGGACTCCTAAAGTGCTGGGATTACAGGCGTTAAGTTCCAGGCCCTCTGTTCATTTTCTATTCGCAGGCACTGGGGTGCACTGGCCTAGCAGGGATGAGAACTGACTTCTTATTCAGCTCAAAGACTCGTGTTCTGTGTCATCTTCCCTTCTGGGAGAACCTCAGTTTTCTTGTGTGAAGGAGTTTCATTGAGTTGTTATCACCAGCCTCACAATTTATAAGGCTGTGGAGTCTGAAAAAGTTCTCTACTTTTTAAGAACTACCCGTGAAGCTGGGAGACATGAGGTTCCTCCTGGCTCACACTCTGTTTCTCTGCTGTTGGGGGTGGCTTTCATGGAGTAGGGCACGTTACAATTTGCAGGATGTCCACACTGCCTGGACTTGATTCAGTGTTCAGCAAATAGCTTTGAGCATCTCTGAAGTGCTAGGCATGGTGCTGGTTCTGTGGATACAAGCATGAGTGAAGTAAGTGGTTTGGAAATAATATACTGGGAAAAGGAACAATGTATTCAAAAGGTGCACAAGGGCCAGGCATGATGGCTCCCTCCTGTAATCCCAGCACTTTGGAAGGGCAAGGCCAGCAGATCACTCAAGGTCAGAAGTTTGAGACCAGCCTGGCTAACATGCTGAACTCCCATCTCTACTAAAAATACAAAAATTAGCTGTGCATGGTGGCGGGCACCTGTAACCCCAAGCTCCTTGTCTTGAACCTGGGAGGGGGAGGTTGCAGTGAGCTGAGATGGCGCCACTGCACTCCAGCCTGTACCACAAAGTGAGTGAGACTCCGTCTCAAAAAAAAAAAAAAAAAAAAAACAGAAAACAGAAAAGAAAAAAGGAAGGTGCCCACGTTCCTTGCAGATGGCACCTAAACTGTAAGGTGGGAATGAATAGAAAGAGCCCAGGGAGGAAGTTAAGCTGAGGATTGCCACTCCCATTTTATAGAGAAATCTTGGGGACACTGACTGACCATTCTAGACTGAATGGTTAGAGGCTCCCTCCCTGAGAAAGTGGTGTTTTAGATGAGCTCTTCCTAACAAGAAGAAGCCAGCCTTGGGAAGGGCTAAAGGCACCTAGGTCAAAGGCCCTAAGACAGGAACCAGCTAGGCCACTGGGCACATTTGAAAACCAGAAATAAGGTCAATGTGTCTGGAATTTAGCTATAGCAGGATATGAGATTGGAGAGAAAAATAGGGTTGAATCATGAAGAGCTTTAGCGATTTTGTTTTGAGTATAGCAAAGAGTCACTGGTGGTTTTTGTTTTTGTCAATTTTACATTTTAAAATGAGCCTGCTAGCTGCTGCAGTATTGTCACCAGCACCACTTTGTACCTCTTTTTTTTTTGAGATGGAGTTTTTCTCTTTTACCCAGGATGGTGGGAAGTGGTGCGATCTCAACTCACTGCAACCTCCCTCCCCCAGGTTCAAGCAATTCTCCTGCCTCAGGTTCCTCAGTTGCTGGGATTACAAGCGTGCGCCACCACACCCAGCTAATTTTTGTATTTTTAGTAGAGACGGGGTTTCACCATGTTGACCAGGCTGCTCTCGAACTCCTGATCTCAGATGATTCACCTGCTTTGGCCTCCCAAAGTGCTGGGATTATAGGCTTGAGCCACTGTGCCCAGCCCACTTCGTACGTTTTTAGTGCACCATTCACTTTGTAATCAATGTAAATGAAGACGTCCAGAGCCGTGCAAGGCAGAGCAGACCCTGTTGTTCTTCCCAAACCCTATGGGCTTTCAGGCTCTAAGAATCTAGTGTTAAGAGACTTTGGGGTGGAAAGATTCTTCCCTACGGGCTTTGATGATGTCAATCCTAAATCATCTTGGAGAAGCCCAAGGGGCGTGCTGGCCCCTGCAGGGTGTCTTTATTGATCTCTGTAAACACTCCCTTCTCCCGAGCTCTTTCATCTGAGAGGCCAAGCCAAGTGGAGGCAGACGCTGGCTCGCTCTCTCCTCCCTTCAAGCTGACACTCTGTAAGCCTTTAAGCAGCTTGTAACTCCATCATCTCAGCGCCCCTTGGAAGGGAGCAGCAGCAGATTAAGCAAATCTGGGATCCAAGCGTTGAGGAATTTGGGGCCTCTCAGGTTTCTTGGCAGGAGTAACAAGTACCTGCAGAGACTCTTCTTCAGAACAAGTGAAATTAATTCCTTCCAGGGGCAGAAAAAGGCATGCTTTTGGCAAAAGACTTCATAAGATGTTATCTCAAGAGACGGGTATGGGAGCTCAAAGAGGGAAGGCAGTTGCAAAACCAGGTGGGAAATCGATGGGGTGGGAGGGGAATGATTTAGGTAAGTTCCCACAGCGGTTCCGATGCAGGGCTGCCTCTAGAACTAGGTTTCCTGGCCTGAGGAGAGTGGCCTCATGCCTTTTCCACTCTCCTAGGACTAGACAGGGAGAAAGAAGAAAGTGAAAAGGGAGGAAGGAGAGAAGAGAAGAAATGAGCTACTTAAGTTCACGGCCACATTCTACTCCTCAAGCTAGACGGCTTAGAGGAAAGAGTCGCGAATGTAAAGTTACAGATGCAAAGAAGCTTCAGTATCATCCAGTCTAACCCTCTTATTTCTTATTTATTTATTTACTCATTTATTTATTTTTGAGACAGGGTCTCACTCTGTTGCCCAAGCTGGACTGAAGTGGTACAAATCTTGGCTCACTGCAGCCTCCTCCCTCCAGGCTTAAGCAATCCTCCCCGCTCAGCCTCCCACATAGCTGGGACTTCAGATGCATGCCACCATGCTCAGCTAATTTAAAAAATTTTTTTGTAGAGACAGTGTCTCACTATATTGCTCATGTTGGTCTCAAACTCCTGGGCTCAAGCATTCCTCCTGCCTCAGCCTCCCAAAGTTCTGGGATTGCAGACCTGAGCCACTGTGCCCAGTGAAGCCTCTTATTTCATGGATGAAAAGAACAAGGGACCCAAGATGAGTACTTCCCAGTGCTGACCAGGAGATGAGGTGGCCTTCTCCTGTGCCAGAAGAGGTTAAAAATGATGCATTTTGGCCGGGCGCAGTGGCTCACACCTATAATCCCAGCACTTTGGGAGGCGGAGGCGGGTGGATCACAAGGTCAAAAGATCGAGACCATCCTGGTCAACAAAGTGAAACCCCGTCTCTACGAAAAATACAAAAATTAACTGGGCATGGTGGTGCGCGCCTGTAGTCTCAGCTACTCGGGAGGCTGAGGCAGGAGAATTGCTTGAACCCAGGAGGCGGAGGTTGCGGTGAGCCAAGATTGTGCCATTGCACTCCAGTCTGGGTAACAACAGCGAAACTCCATCTCAAAAAAAAAAAGTGATGCATTTTGAAGGCTATTTTGGAAACATTTGTCAATGTTTTAGACACACATACATTCTTTGGCCCAGCAATTCCACTTCTGGAACTTCATCCCACAGAAATCCTTGTACATGTGTACAGAGATGTATGGACCAGGTTGTCATCTATAGTGTGCTTTGTCAGTGCAAGACACCTCAAGAGACAGCAAAGGGTGTGCTTATCAGTAAGTGCAGCATTAAACTGCTACATTGATATTACAAAATACCATGCAGCCACCAGAAGGAAGGAGGCAAATATATCTCATTACTATGGAAAGATTATGAGTGACATTAATTAATGATTGATTGATTGATTGAGATGGAGTCATGCTCGTCACCCAAGCTGGAGTGCAGTGGCGTGATCTTGGCTCACTTCAACCTCTGCCCTCGGGTTCAAGCAATTCTCCTGCCTAAGCTTCCCACGTAGCTGGATTTGCAGGTGTCATGCCCAGCTAATTTTTGTATATACATATTTTTTAAGATGGAGTTTTGCTCTTGTTGCCCAGGCTGGAGTGCAATGGCATAATCTCAGCTCAGTTCAACCTCCGCCTCCCCAGTTCAAGCAATTCTCTTGCCTCAGCCTCCTGAGTAGCTGGGATTATAGGCACCTACCACCATGCTCAGCTAATTTTTTGTGTTTTTAGTAGAGGTAGGGTTTCACCATGTTGGCCAAGCTGGTGTCAAACTCCTGAACTCAGGTGATCCACCCATCTCGGCCTTCCAAAGTGTTAGGATTATAGGTGTGAGCCACCGCACCCTGTCTAATTTTTGTATTTTTTGTAGCGATAGGAGTTTTACCATATTGGCCTGGCTGGTCTTCAACTCCTGACCTCAAGTGATCCTCCTACCTCAGCCTCCCAACACGCTGGGATTACATGTGTGAGCCACTGTGCCTGGCCTATGAGTGATATTTAAGATTGAAAACAAAGCATGGCTGGGCATAGTAGCTCACTCCTGTAATCCCAGCATTTTGTGGGGCAAAGGTGGGTGCATTGCTTGAGCCTAGGAGTTCAAGACCAGTGTGGGTAACATAGTGAGATCCCATTTCTACAAGAAAAAAACAAAAAAAATTAGCTGGGCATGGTGGCATACACCAGTAATCTCAGCTACTGGGGAGGCTGAGGCAGGAGGATCACTTGAGCCCAGGAAGTCGAATATTCAATGAGCTGTGTTTGCACCACTGTACTCCAGCCTGGGTAAAAGAATGAGAACTTGTCTCAAAAAAAACAAACAAACAAACAAACAAACAAAAGCACATAAAATGTATGGTGTTATCCCACTTGTGCAACCAAAAGTATGTGTATATGCTTATGTATTATTTTATTATTATAGTTTAATATATATTTCCAGAAGGATATGCAAAAATATTCATAGTTAATTTGCTTCGTTTTATACCCTTTGCACAGTTTGAAGATTTTTTGTTTGGTAAATTTTTGTCACATATGTATTACTTTCATTGCAAAAAGAAAATTGAGATGGAAGTTGCTTGGCTGGGATCGTGCAGTCATCCAGTTACTTTTGGGACAGGAGCCAGACCAGTCTCCTGACTTGACTCTTGACTTTCACACACTGCCTTCTTCTAAGCTCAACAGCTAGTCCCCGCGCAAAGAGGGCTCTGCCTCCTGTCCATCTGTCCAGTGGCTGAGAACTGGGGGTAGGAAACTGTTTCTCAGTGCCCAGCAATGATGACATTCCAGGTTTTGGGGCTTCTGCTTATTGGATTCCTTTTCTGGCTGTGCCACTAAAAGTAGATATTGAGTAAATGACAAATTCCTTCAGTTCTCTGAGACTCAGTTTCCTCACCTGCATAGTGGTGGCCTGGGCATGGGTGGTGAAGTAAAGCTCACTCCTTTCACTGTCCTGAGAACCTTTTAGCTCAGGTGCTCCTCCGGGCTGGGGAGCATGGTGCCCAGGAGTTTTCATTCCTTGAGCCAGGCTTCCCCCTGCTGGTCTTTGCGGGCAACGCTCGGTAAGCTTCCAATAAAGGGTTCTAACTGGCAGTTAGTAGGGCAGGGGCTGGAGAAGCTAGACATCCTGCAGGGGATGAGACGGTTGTGCACAGTGAAGAATTGTCTCACCTCCTGCCTGGCTTTCCAATAAATGGATGATCTGAGCTTGGAACTAACTCCCCTTTACAAACATTATCAAAGTTGTTTAGGTTTGTGCTGTTGTGTGTTGTTTTGTTGCATTTAGAGATGGTCTCTGTTGCCCAGGCTGGAGTACAGTGGCTTGATCATAATAGCTCACTGCAGCCTCTAACTCCTGGGCCCAAGGGACCCACACACCTCAGCCTCCCATGCACCTGAGACTACAGGCCAGCGCCACCACACCTGGCTTCTTGTTGTTTTCATTTAAGATATATTGAATTGCAAAGACCCTGTAAATTAAGGGATGCTTGAACTTCGCTTGGTCCAGAGCAAGAGTTGTTCACCATCTCACAAAATCCTGTCACCAGTGCCATTTGTGTGGGGATCACATGTTCAGCCCACTCGTGTCCCTCTGCATTTGTAGCCATAACTCTTTGCAAATATGTAATCAAGGAGCTCTGAGACTTCTAACAGATGGAGAATGAAATATTACTAAATTAGCACAAAGGTAGATAAAATGCAGACATTTTATTCCATTTATAAAGTCTGTTTCAAATATATATTATTGCCTTGTTTTATGTTTTTAAATTTTTGGTAACACAATAATAAGAAAGGTATGTTGTGAAAAAGTATGTTCTTTTTTTTTTTGAGACGGAGTTTCTCTCTTCTTACCCAGGCTGGAGTGCAATGGTGTGATCTCGGCTCACCGCAACCTCTGCCTCCTGGGTTCAGGCAATTCTCCTGTCTCATCCTCCTGAGTAGCTGGGATTACAGGCACGCACCACCATGCCCAGCTAATTTTTTGTATTTTTTAGTAGAGACAGGGTTTCACCATGTTGACCAGGATGGTCTCGATCTCTTTACCTCATGATCCAACCACCTCGGCCTCCCAAAGTGCTGGGATTACAGGCATGAGCCACCATGCCCGACGAAAAATTATGTTCTTAACTTACTTATGTGTCTTTTGGTTACCTGTTTTTTCAGCCCGACTGATACTGTCCCCAGTTATCTACCACATAAATTCTCTATGCCTCTTATAGTGTAATTTTTCTTTATCTTTCTCCTCAATCATCATGTGGTCCCCATCACCTCCTAAAGGATATGGTCTCGAGTCTTTTGAAGAATCAGAGGCCGAATGTATCTTGGATATGTGGGGAGTTGCTCATAGGCCTCCATGACAGTATGAGTAGCTCCATGTCCTCAAGTGTCACTAAAGCTCCAGATTCTGACCCTACACTTACACACAAGGCCCAACTCATTCGCAAGACTCACACCTCCCCTCCCCTTCTCTTCTTCCACACTTGGTAATTTCTTTTAGCATGTCATTCCCTTCTCAGTTAACACTATTATCCTTCCTCTGTTATTACATATGAATAAGTTCTGCCTGTTCTTTATGTTAATTCATACCTCTGTTCTTTTTTTCTCTGTACTTCCTATATGGGAATGACGTCTGCTCTATCCTTTTAAATCTAAACTTTATTCTTCTAAGTAGGCATATACATCCTACAATTTCATTGTATTTTCTAAAGTGGTCGTGCCTCTGCATTTATGTACTGAAAAGCTTTGTTTTATTTTTATTTTATTTACTTAGGAGTCTTCCTCTGTCACCCAGGCTGGAGTGCAGTGGCACAATTTTGGCTCACTGCAACCTCTGCCTCCTAGGTTCAAGCGATTCTTCTGCCTCAGCCTCCTGCGTAGCTGGGATTACAGGCACCTGACATCATACCCAGCTAATTTTTGTATTTTTAGTAGAGGTGGGGATTCATCATGTTAGCCAGGTTTGTCTCGAACTCCTGACCTTAGGTGATCCCACCGTCTCGGCCTCCCAAGTGCTGGGATTATAGGGGTGAGCCACCACGCCCAGGCAAAGTTTTGTTTTACTATAACTACTCGTATTTCTCCTTTCATTTTACAATTAAGATATCATACTGATTTGTTAAATTTAATTTACTTTGTCTATGAATTTGATTGCAGAGTAGTGTAAATATTTGCATTCACTTAAAGTGAAAAGACAATCTGCATACCTGGAGGAGATATTTGCAAGATTTACATCTGGTAAAGGTTTATTGCCAAGAACGTACAAAGAGGCCTTACAAATCAACGAGAAAGAAGAAGAAACACAAAGAAATGGACAAAAGAAAAGGCATTAACAAAAGAAGAAATGCACACGGCCAACAAACCTATGGAGGCGTTCAACCACATGTGAAATGTAAATCAAGACCCAATAAGATAAGCTTTTATGTCCACTCAAATGGCAAAATTTTAAGAGCTGGACAATCCAAGTATTGGAGAACATATGGATCCATGGGACCTTTTACATATTGCTTGTGAGTGTGTACATTAGGACACTCACTTAAAAAAACAGTGTGGCATTATCTTGTAAAAATCAAACACTCACACAGGCTGCTGTGCAGGTCCTGGGTCTGTTTGGCCTCAGATCCACTCCTTGCTATACCTCTATGTGCTCAGTTTTCCAGCAGGGTGACCATAGCAGATGACCCGTCTTGGCAACCATGTCATCTTGCTTCCAGTTGGGTTCAGCCAATGAAAGAAAGAATGGAAGGTGAAAGGAAGGGAAAAGCCAAGGTATTTCTCAACCAGCACCCTCCCTGACTCCTCTCAGGTAGCATCTGCTGTGGTGGCCACAGCTCTCCTGTGGGTCCAGTTCCCACAGGACAGCCAGCCATGATTCTTCTTCTACCAGGTGACCCTGGCCCTGGGCTCTGGTGATACTAACCCTTTGTTTTTCCAGTCCTAGGGAGGGGTAGTAACAGCTTCCTGCTGTTGTTAATTTGCGGGTGCCTCACTGCCTCCCGTGAGGCTTCTCAGCTATTGATTACCGTACTACTCAGCAATGAGAAGGAAAAAACTACTGATACATGCAACCACCTTGTTGGACCACAGAGAATTTTACCAGCTCAAAAAGTCAGCCTCACATTGTTACATACTGTATGATTCCACTTATATAACCTTCTTGAAATGACCAAATTATTGAGGTGAAGAACAGATTCGTGGTTGCCAAGGGTTAAAAACAGAGGTGGGATTGGAGAAGGAAATCAGTGAACCCAGAAAGAGGTAGCCAGAGGGATCTTTGTGGTGATGGGACAGTTGTGTATCTTGATTGTGGTGGTGGTTTTACAAATCTACATGTAATGAAGTTTTATGTGTGCATAGAACTATGTACATACTCAAACAGATGCATGTAACCCTGGTGAATCTGAATAAGGTCTGTGGATTGTGCCTATATCAGTGATCTAGCTTTGATACTGCATTATAGCTATCTAAGATGCTAATATCGGGAGAAAATGGGGGAAAGGTACATGTATTTTTCTGTACTATTTTTGCAACTTGTGACTCTGTTACTATTTCAAAATTAAAAGTGTCTAAAAATCCATAGAGTGGTTTCTATATTTCCTGATTAGACCCTTACTGACACTCCTGCAACCCACAATTTCTTCCACTCCTAGGTATATATTTACCTAGGAGATAGGCCCCAGAGAAACTCTTAATGCATGTGTAGCAGTTTATTCATGATAGAAGAAAACAAACCACTCATAAATAGAAGAATAAAGAAATTATTGTACAAACACAGTACAAAATCTTATACAGCAGTGCAGATGAATGCAATATGCTATATACAACAATATGGATAAGCCTGACCTCATAATGCATCATTGAGTGAAAAGGGCAGGACTCATGACATTATTTATAATTGTTTTATTAATGTAAAAACAAAGCATTTGTTACAAATGTTTAAATTATCTAAAATAATAGAACATATTGCTTAGATATATATGGGTATATGTGTGGGTGTCCTTTTGTTTGTGTTGCTGTGATATTTATTTATTTATTATTTTTTCCTAATCACTAGACAATGTGGGAGTGATATTTATTTTTAAACATAAGGGAAGGATAAACACAAAATTCAGGAGAGTGGTCACTTCACATGGTAAACACAGACAGGACAGAGAACAAACACAGGTGTTACCAGTGTTCCAGTCTCAGGTTGGGAGGTAGACTCATGGGTGTTCAATCTATTATTTGATAGACGGTAGACAGATAGATAGATAGATGGATGAATAATAGCTAAATGATAGCTTGCTAGATACATAGATGATAAATAGACAATAGATAGATGATAGATATAGATGATTGATAGGTGAGTAGATGATAGATAGATGATAAAAGCAAAAGGGAGTTATGCAGAGACCAACCAATGACAGCGGGTCATGAATCAAGGATCACAACGAATGACTCTATGACTTGGGGTCTCTTGCATTATCTATACCTCTATTTATTATTAAAAGGAGTTATGGAGTCTAGTAACTTTGGGAACCTCCTGTCTAATGAAAACAAACGTCTAGGAAATCCATGTGCTCTTGGATTCAGAAAACGGATGACCATTCTTGTGCCCTCATCAGGGTTCTTCTGAAAGCTTTTCAGTTTCTCAGACTCTAGTGTCCGTCTGTCCTATTCCTATGTTCCAGGGGTTTTCCTATTCTGGCCTTGCCAACCTCTCACTAACTAATTCATCTTCTTAACATATATTGGCTGAGTATTTAGTGTGTATCAAGTGTTCAGGGCTGGGGACACAGCACTGAGCAGAAGAGACCAGGTCTCTGTCCTCATGGAACTTACATTTTGTAATTTAGTGGGACAGAGTGGGTAGGGATGAAAGGTGGCCAGACAACAAAAGCAAATAAACAAGATAATTACAGCTGTGTTCGTGGATGTGAAGGAGAGATGCAGTGAGAGGGGCAGGCAGCAAAGCCTTTCTGAAAAGGAGGCTTCTGAACTGAGAAGCTGAGGGTGCAGAAGAGGCAGGCCAAAAGCTGGGGAAAGAGCACAGTTTCAGAGGGGACAGAGAGTGCAAAGGCCTGGAGGCAGGACTGACTTTGGCCTGTTTAAGGAAGAGAAAGGAGGCCACTGTGTGGGCAGTGTACTGACTGAAGGCATAGTGATAGGCGACTCCAGAGGTCATTTACAAGGCACCAGCTGTGGCCAAGATACAACCTGAGTCTCCTGGCATTTATTTTCCTGTTTGCACAGACTGCTTGCTTCCTGGACGCCATAATTCCCTCTACTTCTCTGAATCTCACCCACTCTTCAAGACCAGGTCCTGCCCATCTCCTCCCAGAAACTTCTTCAGCTCTCCCAGCTCTTGGGTATGGGGGGGCACCGAATGTGTATTCGAAAGTGGGTGACTTCAGTCTTTTACCTCCAAGCCAGTATTTCTTAAGGTCTGGCTTTCTGATAATCTGACTTACAATCCCCTAAAATCCACCTAAGTTTTAAAAGTATTTTAGTAAAATATTTGAATTATAGTGAATAGAATAGTGATTGTTCATGTACTTAATATCTGCTTCTACGAGCCTTACCATTTGTCCTTATTTGCTTCTGTTCCATTTTCATTTTTTAAGAAACAAAACACATTACGAATACATATGTGTGTTTATCAAAAGGTCCCAATCTGGACCTGCTCAATCAGAATTCCTGGAAGTATACCTGGGAATCTGCATTTTTGCAGATTTGACATTTCTTCCTCACTCTTCTTCCTTCACCCACAATGAGTTTTGTACATAGTGAATATTCACAATTGCTAATATATGCCATACTGATATGTGTAAATAATATGTACCATATCAGTAATTTTCAATCTATCCCATCCAAGTAGTTCTTTCTTATTGATAATCCAGGGGGTCCAATCTTTGCATGAGAATCCCCAGGGGGTTTTTGAAAACTACAGATGGCCAGGGCCCTCCCTAACCTAGTAAACCAGACTGGGCAGGGATGTTAGACATCTCTATCATTAAAACTCTGCTGGTGGGTTTTTAATGGTAGCAGAGATTGGGGCAGAGTAGGACCCACCTCCTGTCTGAAACACTCCTGGTGATCATAAAAGTGAGGATTCAGATGTTCTTCCACTTGCTGTCTCCCAGAAGGATGTCAACAAGCATTTCCTATGCCCCTGCTGAGTACTGGGCAGAGCTGCAGGCAAAAGACATTAGTCAGGCATGATGAAGAAGCCCTGACTTATGTCCAGGATGCGGTCCGAACTCAGACGTTAACACAGTGGGTGGACTTCCAGGTACGGTTGGCAGATTTAGCAAAGAAATAGGATGCCTCCTTAAATTCAAATTTCAGACTTCCAACGAATAATTTTTTAGTAGAAATATGTCTTAAATGTTGCATGGGACATATGTATACTAAAAAATGATTTGTTGTTTACTTGAAATTCAAATTTAACTAAGAGTCTTTTGTTTTGTCTGGCAATCCTACTTGAGGGAGTATCTTTTGCATCTCTGAACCTCTGAACCTGTTTTTCCCCATCTGAGAAATGAGAGGGGGGGCCTCTGTGGGTCCTGATTGGATGTCAAGATGCATTGCACAGGTCTAGGAGCTTTTCTTCTCAACCCCAGCAGGGGGCGCTCTGACTCTCCTCAGCCGCCTCTCCAGCTGATGGCTCAGCCGGGAGGCAGCTGGGTCCCGCTGGCTCTGGGGGGCCATCTGGATACCAGGTTGTAAGACCTGGGAGAGTCCAGGTTTGCCCATCCCTAGGACAGCCTATTCAGAAGGAAAGAAGGGGAGATCAGAGTGTCTGAAGATAAGACCATCTCACCCAGCTCCCCATCTACCAGTATTTAGAAGAGAAGACTGAACTCCCTCTAGTTCAGTCTTCTCTTCTAAATACTGGTAGATGAGGAACTTGTCCAGGTTCACACATCTGTCCTGAAAATTAGATTCCTGATTCCTATCATCCTATCCAGGGCTCCTTTGCGTCCTTAGAGTACCCTTATTTTTCTATTTCTAGCTGGAAGTGTTTAACCCTTGCAGTCCTGCAGCCAAAACCAGTGCAGACACCAGTCAGCCCAGTACAGCCCAACAGAACTGAGACAGCCCTGAGTCCCTTCACAGAGGGAGTGTGGTCTGGAGGAAACCGAAATGTTTTACAGCTCATGGAAAGCTAGGAATAAAGGACCAGTCTAGGCAGTGAGGAAGAGTAGATTTCTCACATTTAAGTTGGGAGTGGTAGTTGACGATGATGATGATAATCACTATGGTGACTACAATGATTATTTGTTGGCTTTCTCTATGCCAGACACAACAACCTATGAGGCAAGGACCATTATTGTCAGGAATTTTACCGATGAGGAAACAAGAGAGTGTTGGGTCACTGGACTGAGACTCCATCCAGTTCTGTAGCAGGAGTGGAGGAAGGGCTGCTTCCACTCTCTGGCCCCTTTGGCCTGGGTAGCTCCAACTTCATCAAGAGCCTGGCCAACTCCTCCTCAATGAAGGATTCAGGGGGCCAGAATGATCTCCAAAGGACCCACACTTTCCTATGAAGAATTAGTGCCTGAAGGAAAGGATGCTCACCACTTCAGTCCAGGAGACGATTTTAGGTGAGTTATGAATTTGGCATTAACACTGAGTTAATTTCAATTCAATTCTCCTTTGGACTTTCTATCAACAAGAACATCTCACCAGGTGTGGTGGCTCACGCCTGTAATCCCAGCTCTTTGGGAGGCCAAGGCGGGCAGATCACGAGGTCAAGAGATCGAAACCATCCTGGCCAACATGGTGAAACCCTTCGCTCCTAAAAATACAAAAATTAGCTGGGCATGGTGGTGCGTGCCTGTAATCCCAGTCTCGAGAGACTGAGGCAGAAGAATCACTTGAACCCAGAAGACAGAGGTTGCAGTGAGCCAAGGTCACGCCACTGCACTTCAGACTGGAGACAGAGCAAGACTCCACCTCAAAAAAAACAAAACAAAACAAAAAAAAACCTATAAGATTTCTTCTTTTAACAAGAAACAGAGAATTCTTTAAGCATGAGGCATATTTATAACTGCATAACATTGAATTTGTATTTTTACCATATTTATCTTTAATGTTTATTTCTATTTATGGTAAATGATACTAATTTTTCATCTAAGGTAATGATACAATTTTTTAATGTGAATTTTTTTTGTTTTTTTACAAAAATTTGATTTAAAGTGGGGAGAAACACAGATAGAAGGAGGATGTGGAAGCTTCGCCCTTAAGGATTCTGGATTCTGAGTGTCCCTGTTAACTCAGCTGATTGATTTTGCTGAAGCCAGCAGGGCATGCAGCCCTACCCTGTCCTCCCAGGCCCTGGGCTGATTCATGCATCATGGCTTTTTGATGCTGGCTTTTTTTTTTTTTAACTGTGGTGCTCCCTCTAGGGAAACATCCAGATATGAGGGAGAAAGCTTCGGATTCCAGTTCTCCCCCTTTTCCAGTGCCTCATCACATGACCAAGTCACCCAAGCTCCCTGAACCTCAGTAAGTTGGTGGCAGAGCTGCTGTGATCATAATGCACATTCCATATATGATCTGCCCAGGCTGACCTAGCCACAGACAGCATCATTCAGTTCACAGGGCAAATGTCCCATCTCCCACCCTACCTGAAGGACCACCTGGTCCAAGTCATTTTCCATGATAATTCTCTGCTTTATTTCCTTTACAGCACATGTTTTTATCAGAAACAGTATTGCAAGCTTATGTATGGTCTGCCTGCTAGAATGTTAGAAAGCTCCAGGGGAGCAAGGACCATGCACGCTACCTACTCATGAACCCCCTAACACACTGCAGGTACCTGATGAATGTCACCGAATGATTGAATGAGCCAATGCTGAAATTTACTTTAATTCATCTCTGCAGATTCCTGGAGATTGTAAGACTAGTGCTAGGCGTGTATTCCTCAAAGGCCAGGACCAAATGGGCCATCTTTCCTACTGCTTTCCCTCCCATGGTGCAGAACAGAACACCAGAATACAGTTTGATTTTTTAGGAGCCTTTATTTTAGGAATCTTAACATAACTTTAAGAGAGGGGAAATGACACCTGGAGATCTACGTATGTGGCCCATTGCAATTGAGCACATTTCTTGGGTCTGTTTCTCTATCTCTAAGGGGAGGTCTCAAAACCCTCGCTAAAAATATGACACTAACATGATGAACATGCATGAGCTTTGAAAAGTGCTCTATAGTCTTATGATGATCTAGAAGAGCACTGTCCAATAGAACTTTCTGTGATGATGAAAATGTTATACATCTAACTCAAAATAAATTTTTTGAAAAAGAAGTAAAATTTAAAAAAATAAAATAAAAATGTTATACATCTGACCGATCCAATAGTTAGTAACCGCTAATCATGCATGGCTCTGAAGCACTTGAAATGTTGCTAGTGTGGGGCCGGGCATGATGGCTCACACCTGTAATCCAAGCACTTTGGAGGCCAAGGCAGGCGGATCACCTGAGGTTGGGAGTTCAAGACCAGCCTGACCAACATGGTGAAACCCCGTCTTATTAAAAAAAAAAAAAAGAAAGAAAGAAATGTTGCTAGTGTGATTGAGAGACTGCATTTTGAATGTTAATTAATTTAAATTTATATCTTAACACGTTATATGTGGGTAGTGGCTGCCATAGGGAACCGTGCAGCACTAGAATGATGCCGTGTCCTCCTGTGACACACACTCATGGTCTCTCCTACTCTCCCTTCATTGCACCTGTGGCATCTTGCAATTTATATTTGGTCATGTCATTATTTAATGTATTCCTCCTGGTCTCTAAGCTCCAAAAGAACAAATGCTTTGCCTGCTTTGCCATCACTGTGTCCCCAGTGCTTGGCATGAGACCTGGTACAGAGTAGATGCATCATAAATATTTGGTGAATGAATGAATGAATGAATGACTATGATTAATGAAAGAATGTGGCTGCTCAGGCTGGTGCTGATAATGGTGTATAATGATAAAAAGGGTTAAACCACACGTCATTAAATGAAAACAGCTACGTTAGTGCTCATAGGAACCATACAGTCCCTGTGTGTAAACATGCTGGTGTGTGTGTGTGTACAGGTGTATGTGTAAAAGCATAATAATATGCTTGCAAAGGTTTGTATTTTTGTAGTCATGTATAGACCTGTATGCTTATGTGTTTGTGTGTCAGGAGAATAAGGTGACTTAGACTAAGACACATGCAAATCACCCAGGAAGGCAGTTTCTAAGTCATTACTTTTTATTTTGAAAGATTTATGAAACTCTTCACATCATGGTGAGAGTTTGTATGATTAATAAGAAGCAGCTTTTTCATGAAATGCTTGGAGGTGAACGAGTTCTCAGCCTGTGAGATCCAACCATCCCATTAACTTTGAAGTTTCTCTTGATTAATAGAAGAAAAAAAAGGGAGGGTGAAGAAAAGGAGGAACATGCTAGAAACTTTATGACAGTCATTCAAATGTGGGGGAAAAAACAACCAATTCGCCAACTCCACTTTTTCTATTTTACAACGTTCTACATCTCACTGTTGATTTTGGCCTTCCTGGCTGAAACAGCCTCCCAGTCCCCAAAGCCCCTAAGAAGAGCCCTGATTCTCCAAAAGACAGAGGAGAAGCCCTGCAGGATGCACGGACCACTTCCCAGAGAACTATCATTCCATGCTCCCAAAAGTTTGAACAAGCAGCCTAATGTGAAAAGAAGCTGCACTGAAAGGTAAAGGAGGAAACGGTGAGGAACTGGGCTGATGTGAGAATCTCTGTATATTCACAACGCAGCCCCAGAATCTTTCTCTCAGTCACAGCCTCTGGCAAACCACGTTCTGGTTGGTGGGTTCTGCAATGATCTCTCCCTCTCTCTCATCCCGGAAACATCCTTGACAACATCATATGTCTGTTACTTCCCTTTGCCCACCTCCAGGCCACCTTGGGAAGCCCACAGACAGCCAATACCCTGAAATGAAATGAACACGAAGTCTGAAGTGGTGAGTATTAGTTTCAAACAGAATGCTAAAGCGGAAAATTGAAGCTGCAATGTGTGTTTAAGGAAGAGCCCAGCAGATCCATGTCTACCCATATGCCAATAAGACAATGGGCAAAGCTACAAGTGGCAAGAGAAAAATGGGACTGTTAATGAGTGTGCAAAAGGGCTTAATAGTTAAGTTACAACTAAGAATGTCATGTCTCAGGTTAGAGTTTCCATTTTTAGCACCGTTAATGTATTCACTGAAATCTATGTTAGCACCTTGTCCCCAGGCAGAACAACAAACCATCCAAACATTTTAAACATTGGGGGAAACAGGAAGGGGAGGGTTAAAGAGAGAGAATCCGGTTCTGCGGAAGGAGTGGATTTAGATCACAAGATCCTTGTCGATATCCTCTGCAAAGCAAGAAAAGAGCAGGGTTAAAAATAAGGCTATGTTGATGATGATACATTTCCCAAGGAGTCGGTGGACTCCCACCCATCCCCAGGGGCAGGGATCTAGGTGGCCATCCAAGGTCACCCAGGAAGTCAGTGACGAGGAATCTCACTCTCCCGGTCCTGGGCCTGTCCCTGTCTCTTACACACGCTGCCAAGTTACACTTCCTGTTTCCTTTCTGTGTGCCTGCCAGTTCCCAAAATAGCGTTTGGCATAGGGTGAGTGCTAATGCTTGAGGAAGGGAAAGAGAGAGGGACAGTCTGATGGACAGAGAAGGATCAGGAAGATGCAGCGAGACAGAAGTCAAATAGGCAGCCGGAGCAGAGACAGGCAGAGAGGACAGACAGACAGACAGACCGAAAGAGTGAAGAATGGGGGATAACACCCAGCACCCCGGGAGCAGTGCCTCTGCCCATGCCCCTTGCTCCTTTGTCCTGTCCACTCACTCTGCTTGATGCCGAAGCAGCCTGCCCATTCATCCAGAGCGATGTACTTGTCATTGTCCAGGTCACAGGTCTCGAAAAAGCGGGTGGTGCAATGCTCCATGGGGATGAGGGGAGCGCGCAGTGGGGCCAGCTCGGTGTGGGAGAGGTACCTGCAGGGAAGGAGGCAAGGGAGGGCCTGAGGTATGGAAAAGCTCCACGCCCAGCCTGGGGAGGCAGCTGGGGAGTTAGCCTGCCCCAGAGCATGGAGGAAAGGATGTTTAAAGCAGAACAAAATAGCCAGCATCCGCCACTGACTGCTCTGAGACCCAAAGAACAGCAGTGCCTCATTCGGAACCTCAGTTTCTCCTTCCAGCAAAGAGGAGGAGTTGGTCATAACTACAAAAGGCCCTTCCAGCCCTAAGGTTTCAAAAACAAAGGTCTTTTTGGTATATTTGATTATTCTCTAATTGATTGAGAATTGAGGGCACAGAAACTTAAAATCAAAATATTCGGCACTTCTGCTATGGGTAGATCAAAATCTGGCATGACACAATCCTGTATATTGTCTGTGGACGCACATTTATACCACTATGAATGCCTAGTAAAGGGTCTAAAAAGACACACCAATCTGGTGACTGTGCTGCCTTCTGGGGGAGGAACATGGAAAGGGACTGAAACTGGCAGTGAGGGTCGACAGAAGCTCTAAGCATCTTCATAGAACTTCGTCTGTGTATCATGTAATGTCTGAGAGGGAGGCCCTCTGGATGTCTCTCCTGCTCTCCTCCCTCCCTATTCTTCCCGCTGCCGTTAGACTCTAAAGTATGTGTATAATTTTTTCTTTGCTCCCCAGAGCCCCCAACTACTTGTCCCTAAAACACACCCCACCCTGCCGCCAAAGATCTCCAGGGAACAGTGTGACTCCAGCTGTCTTCTTAACTTTTAGAATTTCCAGCCCTACCCAGGTCACCAAAGAAATCACACAATGTTCAAACTGATAGGAACACTCTCCTCCCCTTCATTGTACTGGTGGAAAACCAAGGCTCAGGGAGGGGCAGGAATGCAGGCAAGGCCACCTACAGCTCTGGGATGGGAGGTGGAGGAAGAGGGTCCCCTTGCCCAGGCTGGAGCACTTTCCCAGATGTGCAGCCTTGTACCCCATCTGGAAGCTGCCCTTCAGGCCCTCTGTTGCAGTGGGATCCAATTGCTTTGCCTGAGCTCCAGATGTTCCCCCTTGACTTTCCCCTTCCCTGCCACAATGAGTGACTCAGTTGGATCACAGCCATGGCAAGAGCCTGGGAGAGAAGTGGCTGGGAGATTCCCAGAGCTCAGGAGAACCCAGCCCTCGGGATCACTGACATGGTGGGCAGACTCCAGGCACATGGGCTGGACTAAGAATGACGGGTGAGCATCCTAAAGATGAGGTTCCCTGGGTATATGAGTAAGGCAGTCCCTCATTTCCCCTCTGTGAGATGCTCTACTTCCACAGCCCAAGGACAAAGTAAAAAGGACTATGGGAAGGTGTAGACGTGGCTTGCTCCATCTGAGGCTGAGCAGGGGCTCTCACTTCATCACCACAAGAGACATTCAGAAGGTAGTGACAGGGGTATGAACAGAGTATGAGCCCATGAGGGCAAGGACCACGCCAGCTCTGATTGCTGTTCAATCCCCTGCCTAGTAGACTGCAGGCAAAAAATGTACACTCAATAAGTACTTGCTACCTGGCCAGTTGCCTACCTGTTCTGCAGTACAGTTGCACGGGGCCTTATAACTCATTTGGACAAGGGACAAGAGCCCTCGAACTGGGGGCTTGCAAAATAGATAAGCTTTTTTGGATAACTTCCAGGGTCAGTTGGGTCAGTTGGGCCCTGTTGAGCCTGGGCCTCAGGAGGGAACTTAGACAGTGCCAGGTGGTTGCTCTGGCTGCCCTGTCCCTGGATATTCTGCTGAAGGACAGGGAGTGTGTGGCTGACCCCACCTCGGCCCCTGCCACCCCTGGAGCCTGGTACTCCTTCCTAACTCACATTCCCTCATTATCCAGATATCCAAGCCTAGTACTTGCAGGATTATAGAGCTATTTTGAGCTCCCACTGACTTTCACCTTGGCATGAGAGTGTCTTGTTGCTTTTCTTCTCCCAGGTCCACATCTTTTCTCCAGACGCCTCATCCTTCTGCTCCATTCCCCAGGCAAACTGTGGATGCTGGGGCTGGGAGCAGCATAGGCTGCTGAGAGGCTTTCTGGCCATAGCTAGTGCACCTGCCAGCCTTGAGCCATGACTCTGTCCACTCCAGGGCCGGGGGTCTTACCCGTCAATGGGGTGCTGGTCCAGCTGGCCGAACTGCCAGTGCACAGGGAAGATGTACATGTTGTAGTTCTTCTCGAAGTCCCGGGCCAGCAGCTCCACAGGGTGGTCTCCTGCCTCCAGGCGCTTCTCATTCTCATGGATCTTCTTCACCTGAGGGAGTAGAGACCGTGTGTGACAAGAAGTCCATGGAGATTGTCCAGACCTGTCTGGCCCTCCCACCCCTGCAAGGAGACCAGAGCAGGCAGAGACTTGCCAGACCAAAGCTCACAGTGAGGGGAAGGAGTTATCATATATGGGGACCAGCATCTCATTCACAAAAACAGAAGCCTGGGATGATCTCAAAGAATTTTACGTATAGCTACCCACATCAGAATCACCTGGGGAAGGCGTGCAGTGGCTCACACCTGTAATTCCAGCACTTTAGGAGGCTGAGGCAGGTAGATCACCTGTGGTCAGGAGTTCAAGACCAGCCTGGCCAATATAGTGAAACCCTGTCTCTACTAAAAATACAAAAATTAGTTGGGCATGGTGGTGCACACCTGTAATCCCAGCTACTCAGGAGGCTGAGGCAGGAGAATCACTTGAACCCAGGAAGCAGAGATTGCAGTGAGCCGAGATCACACCACTGCACTCCAACCTGGCAACAGGTAAGACTTTGTCTCAAAAATAAATAAATAAATAAATAAATCACCTGGGCAGTGTTTAGAATGCAGCTTCCTAGGCCTTGCTTTCTAGAGACACTGTTTCAGTGGCCTGAGGTGGGGGCCAATGAATCTGCATTTTATCAGCATCTTGGGATACATAATATGCCATTAAAGTTTAAGATCCACAGACTCCAAAGGGAAAAAGGAATAGGGCTCTTTGTGTCTCTTCTATTTAATGCTGGGTTAAACAAAGGGAACAGGTCTCTGCTGCAGGACTTCTCAGAGCCTCTAAAATGTTAATGTGCACTATCAGCCTCCAAAGGCGAGAAGAGAAGTGTGTGTCCTGGGGCTCAGGGGTAAATGAACGCTCCAGAGCAGGAGGCCGCCCCACAGCTGGGGGACCAGTTCTAGGAATGGGACTGGATCTTCACCAGCACAGGGCCAGCAGGGCCAGAGAGACACCCTGGGACAGCTGGGAAGAGCCCACTTACCCGCAGCTTCTGCTTCTCAGTCAGAAGGTTGTTGTCCTCATCCCTCTCATACAGGGTGACCAGGACGTTCTTGAGCCAGTCCCGCATGCGCAGGGGGAATTCGGTCAGTTCAGAGTCCAGGCAAGGGGGGATGTCTAGGTTCCAAACACAAGGGTGGTCAGCACAGACCCTGACTCTCCCTGCGGAGCACCAATGAGCTGCCTGGGTAGTGCTCCACACCCCAGGGCCCCTACCCACACCACCTGCACCGGTGGTCTTGGCACAGTGGTTCAACATCTCTGGGCCACAGTTTCTTCACAATGAGCAGAGGAGATTATGTATGGGAAGAATGCTCTAAAAATGCATTGTGCACAGGTATGGCTCCTGCTTTCTCAGCCTGATCTGCTCTGTTCAGGGACACAGATGGCTCCTGCACCTTTCTGGGTGCTGGGCTTTGGGTGTGACCCCAGCTGAGGCTGGGTCCATGCTGTTCATGTCAACCACTGTCAGGTGTTTGAAGCTGAAAGGCTGAGGAATCACATCTAACCACAGGCCCAGCTTGTCAGGGAGTAGGGAATAGAGGAATCAGGAATGTGTAACCACCAGAACTTTTTTAGAAATGATTCCATCCTGGTCTTTGGAACTTGGAATCCCAACTGTTGGACCTGAAGATTTCATGCAAGTCCATGCTTTTCTTTTTCTTTGGTTTTTGTTTTTGTTTTGAGACAGGGTCTCACTCTGTCACCCAGGCTGGAGTGCCATGGCACAATCATGGCTCCTGCAGCTTTAGCCCCCTGGGCTCAAGCAATCCTCCCTCCTCAGCCTCCTGAGTAGCTGGGACTATAGGCACATGCCAATACACCCAGCTAATTTTTGTATTTTTTCCAGAGACAAGATTCTGCCATGTTGCTCAAACTGGTCTTGAACTTCTGAGCTCAAGTGATCCTCCCTACTCAGCCTACCAAAGTGCTGTAATCCCAGCTACTTGGGAGGCTAAGGCAGGAGAATTGCTCGAACCCAGGAGGTGGAGGTTAGGGTGAGCCGAGATTGTGCCATGGGCAACAAGAGCAAAACTCTGTCTCAGAAAAAAAAAAAAAGATAGACACTCTAGTCTCACTGCCCAGGGACTTCCTACCAATGCTTTTTTCCCCAACCTTCCTTCTCTACACTGTACCTTCTCAATTTCATACCTGGAGCCCCACAAGGTGAGCCTTATTTCCCACCCCCTACATACTTTTCTGCACCCTGCACACCTGAGGCAGGTGAATGGCTCTCCTCAGTGCCATCGGGTGCCAGAATATACAAGACCCACAGTGTGGATGTTGCCTTGCAGGGCGAGCAGGTGTGGTCTTGGGGGTCTCCCATGACCCCCAAGGATGCTAAACAAGGCACTCGGGCCCACTGAGTTTGCAGCTGGGGTCACTATCAAAGGACAGACAGCACCCCGGCACACCTCTCCAAACGACTGACTCCCAGGGTTCTGGAGGAGGGTGCTTATCCTCTCTCTTCAGAGGGCAGATAGGAATGTAATGGAGTAAAAGGGCGAGGATATGACAGTACTGAGTAACAGGGCCCAAAGCATACCAACAGCCATGCCCTTATTTTAAAGCATTAAAATTCAGATACTTTCAAAATATTTTGTAGGCCCAGGTCAGACATCATTTTTGCTTTACAGTGTTGAAGCAAGAAAGAGTCAAGTTAGCCTTAGAGAAGAACTTCCTCATTAGAGAAATGAGAGGTGGTTGTCTCAGATGCTAGTGAGAGACTCTAGAAATCCTCCCTGATGTTGACCTTCCCTAGTCGCTCAGTCCTTCCCCAGAAAGTGCCCTGAACTCAGAGTTGAGAGGAGCCGACTCATAGACAATTACCTCATTTTATAAATGGGAATGCTGAGACTCAGAAACTGAAAGAGATTTGCCCAAGATCACCCAGCATGGAGGTGGCAGAGCTAGGGTCAGTGCCTGCTCAGGCCTCTCTACCCAAGACAGGAGTCTGGAAAGGCCCAAGGAAACTCACATTTGCAAGGCCCGATGTAGTCCAGGTGGAGCTTGTGGCCCTTCTTGGTGCCCTCCAGGGTGCACTTTGTGGCAAAGAAGTGGCAGGAAGAGTCGAAGGTCTTGTTGTCGTTGCTGCACACCTGTTGGCAAAGCACAGAGCACCCCCTCCTTCATTCCCAAAGCCCTTCACTGATACCACTATCCTTGTCCATTTCAGAGATGGGGACACTGAGGGTTAAGCAAGGAATGTCATTAGCCCAAGGTCATAGAGTGAGTTAGTGGTAGGACTGGGACACAAATCCACTCTTTGGGTTCCCAGGCCAGTGCTCAGCCCAGGCTCAGAGCCATTGATGGTCTCTGAGAGGCATGACTGAGTCAGGTCTGAGATATGGGGAAAAAAAAATCCTGGAAGATATTTGAAGAGAAAGTTAAAGACAGGAATGGGAGAGAAACAAGAGTGTTCAAAGAAGCGTTAACAGAACAGGCCTGGAATTGTTATCCTTAAAAAGGCCTGCATGTAACGTTGGCCGGTGGCTTGTGTCTGGGAACTTAGCTGAGAAACAGTTCCCTGCAGTGTCATAAATCCTTCCCGTTTGTCCTAACAATCTGGTTTATGCGGAACATCTGCTTTTCTTCTGGGAGTCTGAAATTCTGGTACATGCTAGGCAGAGGGTGCCTATGTGACCAGCCTCCAATTAAAACTTTGGGTGCTGAGTCTCTAATGAGCTTCCCTGGACAGAAACATCACTCACATGTGGCTACATCTTTGTAACTGGGATAAGAATGCACTCTAATGATCCCTCAGGGGAGTAAGTCAGTCTCCGCCCAGATTCCTCCAGACCCTGCCTGTGTCTTTTTCCCTTATGATCCAGCTGTGTATCCTAAATATGTCACTTTACTAAACCTTAGCTGTGGGTACAACTGTATGCTGAGCCATTGGCGTCCTAGTGAATCTCTGAACGTAGGGGTGGCCAAGCAGAGATGTTGAGGCTGGATGAGGGCAGTGGCAATAAGTAACTGTGTTAGGAGGAGGGGAGCCTGTGTTGAACATCCTCCCTGTACTTACTCAGTATAGCTTATATGTCACTGCAGAGGGAGAAATGACGGGCACTGGTGACTAGGCATTGGGAGTGGGGTGGGGTGAGGAGGAAGAAAATGTTAACAATGATGCTACAATGTGGAGATCAGAGGCTATGTTGTCTCTGGAGAGACTGAAGATGGAGAAGCCAGATGGGAGGCTGTAGGAACAATACTGGCCCCAGATTTGTCGCCATGAACTAGACAGCCACTAGCATGATGGTGGGCATGAGCAGGCACTCAAAAAATATTTACTTGGATAGATGGATGGATGAATGGGTGGATGGGTGGATGAACGGATGGATGGACGAATGGATGGGTCCTTGGAGACAGAATGGACATATTTGAGAGATAATTTAAAAATAAGTAGTATTTATTAGGTACTTGTTACGTACCAAGCATTTTCTGACACATCCCCACAACAGTCCTATGAGTTAAGAACTATTTTTATTCTCTCTTTGGAGGTGAAAAAACTGAGACTTGAAAAGTTTCGGCAATTTAGCTGAGATCTCACAGCTAACAAGTGATGGAGATGAGGTTTGAAGTCAACCTTCTGTTTGACCCCAGAACTCACATTTTTGGACCTGATTCTTTGCTGATGCTCTTATGCTTTTAGCCATAAGAGTCTGGCATAGGGCTTGTAACCTGATGATGCTGTTTCAAGTCTTGTTGCTTGCTGCCAGGTACACTCTGACTCATTCCCTCTTTCCTGCTGGGATTAGGTCTAGGAAGGGGACTTCTGAGATTGGCGCTGGCCCATAGAACCACCAAGCCAACAGTTTCCTGAGCAGGCACTCTATATTCTGAAGTGCCCAATCCCTATCCCCATCCCCATCCCTCAGCCCTCACCTTCTCAAACTCGCCAATGGGGGCTGGGCAGCTGGTGGGGTCCTGGCACACACACATGGGTGTGTTGTTCTCATCCAGCTCGCACACCTTGCCGTGTTTGCAGTGGTGGTTCTGGCAGGGGTCTGTAGGGCAGAAAGACAAGGAGTTAGCCTCACCTGGATTAGCACATCCACCCCCATCCTACCTGGACAGATCTCAGGGCTGAAAGTCCCTGGCTGTGGCTCCTACTCTGGGCTTTGGGCAGTCCAGAGTCCTGCCTGCTCTTGCACTGAGCCTAGCAGTCAGCATTTAGGGAGCAGCTGGTTCAGTCTGGGGATTAGAGGTTTATTTCGAGATAGCGGTCAGGCACTTTTTAGGGGCTGGAGGCTCAGTCTGGGACCCAGAAACACTAGATGCCATATGACTTCCCCAAAGATTGAAGCAACCATTGTGTTCCTGGGTCATCACTGAGCAGTCACAGTGAGGCATTTCTGGATTCCAGAATAAGCTTTCTAGAATGCCTTAGAAAGTCAGATGTTGACAATGAGCCAGGGAGCTGTGAGGCCCAACAAAACAGACTTAAGTGGCTGTAAAGGAAAAGGCAGAAAAGCCCCAAGGCCCACGCTGGACAATAGAGCATGGTAAACACCGGATGAGGTGGGAGAGGAGGCAGGAAGGAACATAACTCAGTAGCTGTCCCTCTGTTCCAGTAGAAACCCTGTGCCCAGCTAGATCAAACACCATTAGCTCTCCCCTCAGGATGAGAGCCTAATGTGGCCTTTTCCTTGACATGCTTATTTTGAGTATTTTAATAATCCTTTATTGGATGCCTACTCAGCTTGTCTGAAAAGCTCCTGACAGCCCTGGGATGCAGGTCTGCCATCTCCATCCACCCCATGTAAGAGATGAGAAACTGAGGCTCCGAGGAGTTAAGCAAGCTGGCGTGGAGAAGCCTAGGTTCAAAGCTTGGTTGGACTGCTTCCAAAATCCATGCTCTTAACCCCTTGGGTGCAAATGCCTTGCACTTAGAGCTGGAGCCAGAGCCCCTAGGTCATTGCTCCCCCAGGGCTCTAATGCATGGATAGCGTGGTATGAATTATGTCAGGTTTCATTTCCTGCAGACCTCGTTTCCTTGGGCTGTGTGAAATAGAATGAGCTTATGAGTGTGCAAGTTCCTGATCTCTTCTCTCAGATCTACTACTCTGTGGGGCACGAACTGAGACAGAAGCGATGGGGGATTTCAGCAACCAGATGTGACCAGGGACCCCCATGGGAATGAAAAACTCAGCTTTGGACTAGGGCAAGAGCTATGAGGGGAGAAGGCTATTTCCAGCTGGAGAACTCTCCTTCCCGCCATGCACATGGATGGCCTGTAATCCGATCTTGCCCGGATCCCAGGGGACTGAGTACCACAGTTTCTCAGTCGTTAAGTCAAAGCGGTGTTTCCTCCATAGCCCACTGAGGACCCCACCCTGCATTTCCACTGGAAATGGTAGGTCCTCACATAGGCTGTCCTCATGCCCCAGACCCCCAGGCAACCAAGGGCAGCTTGGATGTGCCAAGTCACAGGGAAGGGACATACTTTCAGCCACCACCTCCTCTTCGGTTTCCTCCGCACCTTCGTCAAATTCTCCTACTTCCACCTGGACAGGGTTGGCTCCCACAGATACCTGGAATTGGTAGAGAAGAATGGGTATAATGGTCCCCACTCCCATCCCAGACCCATAAGGGTACCCGAAGGGCTTCAGGTCACAGAAAGCTCAAATGCAGGGTTGGGAATCCAGATTTAATCTATAGACCCACTGTGTTTTATAGTATGCCCGGGATTCTGTTGAGCTGCCTTAGAAACCACCAGGGATGTTAAGGAAAGAGAGTGTGAAAGGAAAATATATCTTGGGACCCCAAAATCACTAAGCTAAGAGGAAAAGTCAAACTGCGAACTGCATAGGACAAATCTGCCTCCCATTCTATGCAGTCATCCTTCTGAGGCTCACATGAGATAAACCATTGTCTGATTGCTTCCTCTGCCCTGTTACTTATGTAAAAATGCAGACTCACTGAGCCCGATTCAATTGTGTATTCAGTGGAAGGCTGAACAAGGACTCAAAAGAATGCAACCAATTGTCTCTTATCTACTCCTAACCTGGAAGCTCCCACTTCTTGAGTTGTCTTGCCTTAGCCAACCCAACCAATGTAAAACTTAGACATACTGATAGATGTCTCATGCCTCCCCAAAATGTATAAAAGTAAACTACTCCCGACCACCTTGGGCACAGTCTCAGAACTTCCTGTGTCATGGGTGCATCCTTAACCTTGGCAAAATAAACTTTCTAAATTGACTGAGACCTAGTTCAGACATTTGAGGTTCACAAGGGGGTGTCAACCTCCACCCCGACCAGCCACACCCGAGCATCTCCCTTTTCCTCTGTTTTATGTTTGGGGAAACTATGGATAATCATGGAAGAAAAATTATTTTACAGCTTAAAATACAAAAATTTCAAGGTCCTGTCCCCCAAACGTAGGGTTCCATTGAAGGGTTGGGAAGCATTCAGCAGTGTGTCAGGATGTGGGGGATACTCAGGGTTTGCATCTATGCTATGTGTATGTGGAGATGAATGCCCTACCCTAGCACTGAGACCTGCTGCACCTGCCCTAATTTCTCAAGGCACAGATCCGGGTAGAGAGGGGCTAAGGGGCTGTAGTCACTGCTCACCTACCTTCGTCACCTCTGCCATAGTTTCTTCTACCACCTCTGTCTCATCAGGCAGGGCTTCTTGCTGCTGGAAAGAGAAAGTGGGGTTCAGAGGGGCCAGAAATAAGGCCAGCTTCACCTCCAAAGTGCCTGTGGCCTGGAACACAGGCTGGGGGAGCTGGGAGAGCAGCTCACTGGAGATCCCCAAAGCTGTGCCTCATGGACTGCCACGGATGGGAGAGGACAAAGAAGCAGCCAGTCACGTGAGCACCGTGGGACACTCAAGCAGCTCCCATTTTACCTATTTTGTATCTGAGCTGTCTACCTAACATTTAACTTGGAAAAGTATTTTTGCGGCTTTGAATTCTTATAAAGTCTGAAAATCACTGATCCAGACCAATTCCCTCACTTTAAAGATGGGAAAATTGACATCCAGAGGGGATGACACTGTGAATTTTAGCAGATGTCATCATCTTCCTCACAGTGTGATACTATTATTATTTTAGGTCATTTTTCTTGCCATTTTAACTTGGAGTAGGAGGAAACAAGAAAACACACAACTTTGAGGCCCCTAGCTGGCTGAGGCTACTTCAAAACTTAATGCCAACTTTAAGAAACTTTTGCCTCCATCTACCAGCAGCCTGATCAAGATTGCCAGGGTCTGCCATCACTCCCACTTCTTAGTGAAGAGAGGATAAGGGGATCGCAGTTAAAACTGTGAGTTCAGTTAAGGAAATCACACTTTTTGCCTGCCCTGTTTCTTCCTCCTCTCCTGGTGAAGGCTTCCAGATGAGCAGTAGATAACTACTCACGCCCTCTGCATGCAATGCTTGGAGGAACTGTCTGTCAATCAAGGGGCCTCACCCTCCCCTGGCCAAGAAGCCAGCTCAGGACCCAAGCTCAGCCAGATTGGCTCTCATTTTTTGAATTTTTTAAATCTGAGACAGAGTCTCACTCTGTCACCCAGGTTAGAGTGCAGTGGCATAATCTCTGCTCACTGCAACCTCCGCCTCCTGGATTCAAGCAATTATCTGCCTCGGACTCCCAAGTAGCTGGAATTACAGGTGCCTGCCACTATGCCCAGCTAATTTTTTCTTTTCTTTCCTTTTCTTTCTTTCTTTTTTTTTAGACAGAGTCTTGCTCTGTTGCCCAGGCTGGAGTTCAGTGGTACAACCTCAGCTCTTGGCTCACTGCAACCTCCACCTCTCAGGTTCAAGCAATTCTCTGCCTCAGCCTCCAGGTAGCTGGGATTACAGGCACCCACCATCAAGCCCCACTAATTTTTGTAATTTTAGTAGAGACAGGGTTTCACCATCTTGGCCAGGCTGGTCTGAACTCCTGACCTCGTGATCCACCTGCCTCGGCCTCTCAAAGCACTGGGATTACAGGCGTGAACCACCCCACCCTGCCTCATTTTTTGAATTTTTTTTTTAATTTTTACTTAAAAAAAATTTTTTTTTTCTTTAAAGACGGGATTTCAACATCTTGGCCAGGCTGCTCTCGAACTCCTGACCTTCTGATCCACCTGCCTTCGCCTCCCCAAAATGCTGGGATTACAGGCGTGAGCCACTGCGCCTGGCCCATTTTTTGAATTTTTAAAAACCTTCTTGGCACATTCTGTCAAGATGTGAAAATTGCTGGAGTTGATTCATTCAGATAGCAACATCTCAGAGACTATCCATTAGTTCTTAGCTCCCAAAGCCTAGAGCTGCCCTTTTCCAATCCTCCCCAAGGCCTTTAATATTATAATCTACCTCTGTATCTTCCCCCATGTCCTCCCTCCTCCCCCAATTTAGTCAGATTGAAGTGTTGCTGACAACCAAACAACCCTCACTGTTTCAGAAACCAACACGCTCCTCTCTCTATGGGCTTGAATCTCTCCTGACATCATCCCCACCAGCAATCCCCCACACTCCATCTCCTGCCTGCTTTAATTCCTTATGTGACAAAGAGGTCATTTCCTTCTAAAGCAATCCTCATCCATTGCTGGGAAGTTCTGACTATGAAAAAGCTTATCTTAACATTACATGGAACTCTCTCTTCTCTGGAACCACCACCCAATGGTCCTGATCCCAGTTTTTCTCCTGAGCTTATTAAAGTAAGAGGGAAAAAAAAAAGTTAAAAAAAGACAGACAACTAACTTGAGATGGGGAAGTCCCTGTTCCCTCTCAGCATCCAGGGCTGGCAGGCTTAGAACCCCTGGAGCTGGCAGTGGGAATAAAAGCAAAGAAGATATCTTAGGTACTTACAGGTGCTGCCAAGGCCCTCCCGGCCAGGCAAAGGAGAAAGAAGATCCAGGCCCTCATGGTGCTGGGAACGCTGTGGAGAGGAGAGATTGAGAGTTGAGTGAGGGTGAGATTTCCTGATGGAGAGTTCCTTTTGAACTCCTGATAGATGCAAGATAATGTTGGATGGAACAAGTTAAATGATCGTGGAAAACATGAGAGAAGGCTGGTTCCATTTAACAGTCTTTCAATTCTGATGCTATGAGAAGAAAGTCTCAGTTTGGTGCTAAGATGTCTTGAACACCTCCTTCTAACTTATCTCTCTCTCTTTTTCAACAAAGAGAAAACAGGCCTCCCTCCAGCTCAGAGCTTCCACAGGAAATTAGATCCAGCTGGAACTGAATAAACTTGTTTTGTTTTTTTTAATGTGTTTGTTTTTACAGTTTCCTTCTATTTATGACAGAGGTACACAGGGATTTCCATTTATGGTAATGACAAAATCTGCTTTTGTAATACATTTATTAAAGTTTTAAAAAAGTGATTCAACTAAGGTGATGGGCTAATTAGCCCAGTTTGGGCAATGCCAAACCAGATATCTTCAAGGCCCCTACAATCTCTGATATTCTAAGATTATATTTTCCCCTAAACCAATCTCTCCTCTTCCTCCTCTGTCGCCTACTCCCCGTTCTTCCTGCTGCCTCCGCAATGAGAGAAGGTAATAGGCAGCAACTTCTCGCCAATTTGAGACAATGAGATTCACATTCTAAAACAAAGAACAATAGTCTTGGAATGTAACCCATGGAAACTTGAGGGTGGCCACATTTTTCTCTATTCTACTCAGAAGGGACAGCACTTCTTTAGGCCCTGTAGGGAAACCATCCAGATGCTTCCATATGTTGCAGAGGAGATGTTAGCTAAGATCTAGAAAATACCCCTGTCTGGCAACTGTTAAGACCTCATTCTCTCAAGGCCAAGTTCTAGGCTCTAATACTTTCATGAGTATAAGGGACGTTGGAGCCGAATCTCCTCTGAGGATTCAAAACCAAAACGCCATTCCTAACAGAGGCTCTGTGGTGGAAACATTTCATTCCTTGTGCTAATTAGAAGGCTTTTCATTCTCAAGTGATTTTAGAAAGTTCTTCCTTTTACCGATCTAAATCTGCCTCCCTCAAACCTTCTGATCTGTCTATCCTGTCTCTCCTGCAGCCACGAAGAACCTCTCTGTATCCACAAACAGCCTTTCAATCAGGGGAAACAGTGGCCATGTCTTCCCTCGTTTTTCTCCCAAAACCTCCCTGTCAGGCTCATCATCCTTTATTTCTTTGAAGACTTCTCAACTGACCAAATGGTGTTGGGAGCTAACCTGGCATCATGGAGAAAAACACTCAGCTTAAAATTAAATGCCAGGGGTTCCTGTTCTACCACAATACTATCTTGATTGATGTACTGGTTAAGTCCTTCTGTCTCTCTAGACCTTGGTTCCCCCATCTATCAATTGAAAGGTGTAGACTAGGTGAACTTTGAGGTGGCAGCCTGGGTCCTTAAAATGATCTTAAGCACATTCTGGTCTTAGCACATATCTTCTCCTCTGGGATCATCTGTCTTCACTTGGACTATAGCATTTGGGAAGCAGAAACAGGCAGAGGAAGAGTCAGCTTCAAAGTAGTCCCTTCTTGAGCTAAAAGAGAAACAAAACCTCACCCCCTATTGCATGGAGTGCATAAAATTAACAGAAATTTAAAGGACCTGGGGGTTTGGCATTGCTTCACAATGACCCCAACTTCCAGAGAAGTCTAGTCGCCCCTTTTTAGGTGACTTGTGGAATGTTCCTCCCCTCACAGTTGTTCACTTGTTACCCCAGGCTTGAGTGGAAAAATCTCCCTTCTTACTTCCCCTTTGGAAGACACAAGATAAATAACTCCTGTATCTGGCTTGGGACAAATGGAACAGAAAAGAAAACATGAAGGAAAGACTTGTCTGAGATAGTTTGAAGTCGAAGGATCAAAGTGAAATAGCAGCTAAAACAAAACAAAAGTCATTCTCTCTGAGCTACAATGACAGGGAAGTCACGTCATTGAAGAACTAGCCTAGCTAGGAGTGGAAATGTAATAAGCTTCAGATTAGTAAGACAGGAAAGGAAGGCAGACATTTCCCTGAGTCTGTGTCCTTCATGTAAGCAGAGAAACCACGCTTCCCTCTATGACCAGGGGAAGGTTTTGCTGGGCAGCTCTTCCATCTGTCCTGCCTCCCTGTCTTCCTGAACTCTTTCCCAGCTGCACACTCACCCTCCCTGCCACCCCCATCCCTGCTGTTCCATACAGAAGAGAAAAATAACTCTAAGTCTTACAGTGCTTTATAATTTCTAAAGGACTGTCACATAACACAGTCTCCTGGAGCCTTCTGACAATGCTGGGAAGTAGGCAGATGGGCATGGAAGGGTTCTCAATCCCACTGTCCTGATGGGGAGTCTGAGGTTGAGAGGGAGGAAGCACTTGTCTAAAATCATGCAACATTAAGGCCCTCTCAAAATAAGCAAGCATTCTCACTCATGGAGTTTGGGTGAGCCTAATAGGAATTATGCTCAGACAGGTGGGAGTAGGGGAAAAATACGGAGAGACTCTTAAGAACAGAACACAAAATCTTGGAATCCTCCTCCAAAGTTTTGGAAGAAAACTGTAAAAACAAACACGAAATTTGGGTCCTGCACAGTGCCCAGTGCTACACCACCAGCCCCAGAGCACTTTTCCTCCAGACAATGAAATGGGAGGGAAGGGAAGTAGCTGAACTATTCCACATGCACAGCCTTACTCCCTGCTTCCCCACGAGATACCTCTCTGAGGCTCTCTAAACCACCAATGACCAAAGAGGCCTGCATCCATCCTGCAAAGCTAATGGGTGATAACAGTCACTCCAGCAAGGTCAGATCACAGTGTCAAAACCCAGCATTCAGAACTTATCAGCTGTGATCCTCTGCCAATCAAAACTAAGTGCAGTATGCCGTGGGAAATTTTAAATTCCTTTCATATAAATGACCAATATTAAATGAAAACTCCCTCCTTTGTCTTTTTTTTTTTTTTTTCTTTTGAGACAGACTCTCACTCTGTCCCCCAGGCTGGATGGAGTGCAATGGCACAATCTCCACTCACTGCAACCTCCACTTCCCAGGTTCAGGGGATTCTCCTACCTCAGGCTCCTGAGTAACTGGGACTATAGGAGCGTGCCACCACTCCCAGCTAATTTTTGTATTTGTTGTAGAAACTAGGTTTCACCATATTGGTCAGGCTGGTCTTGAACTACTGACCTCATGATCCACCCGCCTCAGCCTCCCAAAGTGCTGGGATTACAGGCATGAGCCACCGCACCTGGCCTCCTTTGTATTTCTTTAGTCTTTGGTAATGCATACATTTATCATTTTCAGGGTGTTTTCATAATCCAGCACTCCACAGGGGGCTCAAGGCATGTCTTTCTGCCCAATAGTACAGATGAGAAGGCCTAGAAGAAGAAACCTGCCAACAGCTGATAGCAGTGAGTGGGTGGCAGGGGTAGGGTGAGGACCTATGCGACCCTACCCCACCACTGGCATGTCCCTACCTCTGCACACGATTTCCCTTGGCAGCTACCCGCTCCCAGGAGGCCACTGGAATGGGGGTCAGTTGGGCCTTGAACTAGCCTGAGTTGCTGGGAAGGAAAATGCTCAGGACCAGGGGAGGAATAGGAGGCATATTTCCCTTGGCTTGGTGGCCATCAAATGCAGACACTCCTAGCCCCCTCCTGGCTGCCACAGCCTCCTGTTCCGTACATCAAGTCCCTTCCTTTTGCCTTTATTTGCTCTGGAGACTGCTGAAAACCCGTCCTTGGCTGCCAACAGGACCTGAAGCTGAGGTCACTTCTCTCTCTGGAAAGACTCTGAGGATGGAAAAGTACAGCCAGCCCCCAAGTTTGTCCCTCAAAATATAAAGGGCCTCCTTTGGGCTCTTCCTAGACGTTAAAAAGCCACTGAATGTTAGAACAGGGGAGAAATCTCAGGATCGTAGAATCACAGACTGTGGGTCTCAGAATGATAGATTCTTAGAATGTGAAGCAAAGAAATGGAATTGCCATCATTAAATCTTATTTGGGTGGAAAGAATTTATAGAGTAATGCAACCCAATAGGACTTTCTAAGGTGATGAACACATTCTATATCTGCATGGTCCACTATGATAGCTACTGGTCACAAGCGGTTATTGAATGCTTGGAATGTTGCCAGTGCAAATGAAGAACTGAGTTTTAAATTGGGTTTCATCTTAGTCAATTTTTTATTTAAAAATATTATACAAAAGGACTGAGGACAGTCCAAAAAAATCTTACCTAACCCATACCTTGGCTGAAATACTGCAATGGCGAATAGTGGAAAAAAAATTTTTTTTTTTTGGGGGGAGTCTTGCTTTGTCACCCAGACTAGAGTGCAATGGTGAAATCTCAGCTCGTTGCAACCTCTGCTTCCCAGGCTCAAGCAATTCTCCCACCTTACCCTCCCAAGTAGCTGGGACCATAGGCACAGGTGACTATGCCCAGATAATTTTTCCATTTTTTTTTTTTTTTGTAGAGATGGGGTTTCCCTATGTTGCTCAGGCTGGTCTTGAACTCCTGACCTTAAGCGATCCACCCACCTCAGCTTCCCAAAGAGATGGGATTACAGTTGTGAGTCACCATGCTCATCTATTTTAATCAACTTAAATCTAAATAGGCACATGTAGTAGACAGACACAGGGTAGACAGAGTGGTGATAAACTACCAGGCAGTATAGGATAAAGGTAGTTTCATGAGCTCTGGAGCCAGAATATACAGGTTCAAATCATGGCTCTGCCACTTAGCAATTGTATGACCTTCAGAAATCAACTTTACCCCTCAGGGCGGCAATTTGTTCCCTAATGTGTAAAATGGAAATAACAATATACCAATCTTGAAAGGCTCATGGGTGGTTTACACAAGAGAATCCAATTAAAGAGGTAAGCAATGTCGTCGTTGGGAAGAGCATCTTAAAGTCCAAGGATCCCAGAGTCTCCATTCCCCATAAGAATTCAGTGATGAATCCCAGTGTTTTACAAGCCCA